CGGACTCTAATCAAAAGAACTTAAAATTCTACCCTACGTGTTACTTGTTAGGCTAGCCTATATGGGTTGAAACTATTTTTATTTGAATTAAATTGCTCAGTGGGCCAAGCACTTAATTAACACTGATGTATGTGTCGCTGTCTGAGCAAATGATATGATTCGCTCTCTCTCACCGCTACATTGGCTTAATTTCTTAAAGTTGTAATTTAATTTTTAAAGATACCTATAGAGTGAATAAGTCCAACATATAAAACAAGTATTTTTTTATCAAGTATTATTCCGAATATGTATAGCAAACAATGACGTGTACTTTCTAATTTTTTGGATTCTTGAAATTACTGTATATGTATTAGAGAAACATTCTAGTTTTTTACATAAGTTAGTTGCAATTTAGCGCTGTAGGTTCATTTTATATAAATATTGTATTGTTAAATATCTAATTGCTAGTTATACACATTTTTATTGTTGGAAACAAAAAAGCAGAAGCTAACAAATATGTTTTTTGTAATTTTTGTTTGCCTGTAGAACCAATGTTGATTTTTTTTTTTTTTACTTGCATTTGTTAGGTTTCAATTTCATGCTCTGTATTGTGTTAGATGTGCAAAAAGTTCAGAGTATACAACTTTACAGTAGTTAGTAATGACTCCAAGTAGAACCAAACTGTACAAATAATTTGTGCTGAATAGTTTTGCTATAAAATGCTATTCTGATTCTGTTAAGAATTATATGATGATATTTGATGGTCACTTTCATTTATATTGTATATAGACATACTGGAATGCTACTTCACTCAGAAGTTATTTACACAAGTCTAGAATTAACAAAGTATTACATGAACAGATATCATCTCAGACATTGTATACATAAATCATAAGGAAGTACTAGTAAAATGCAGTTAAAAATAGAAAAAAAGCTAAAAGAGAATGTAGCACTGTATGCAGGTAGGGTTGTTGCTTTTCACCATTCTAGGGTTATGAGTTGCACTGTGGGTTTAGCCCAGCGACATGCATTTCATGGTAAACTAAAGTCTCTTGGCTTGATTGTGTATCAGTGAGAGTGCCCTGACATTTAGACCTTTATGTCTACTTTGGACATTGTGCTTCTCGGGATAGACATTGAATTATTACAATGCTGATTTGGAATATGGTCATAGAAACATTTTGCTTGAATTCAATTTAAGCAGTGGTATACCGCAGCTTTCTGTCAGGACACTCACTCTTTCTAATAAATAACGATGGGAAACTTCCATTATACTTACTTGCTCACAGTTAAGCTTCTCTTGATAAACATTGACTGAGTAAGGCGATGAAAACTGGTTTCTACAGCTTCATTTCAACAACATTTAAGGTAACTCTATTTACTCTATACAATTTGGAAGTAAAAATTATTAACTTGAAGAGAGCAAGGGTCCTGTTTTAAAGTAACTTTCATAACATAGTGATATATTTACCTAGCTGTAAATATAGTTACCTAGCTATATGGTAGAAGACAATCAAGACCATGTCTTAGGTGTGAATGTTGACATTCAATTTGAACTATTATTTAACTTCCCAAAGAAAAAGGAGAGAACAATTGCAACCCAACAGTGACGGTACATTCAGTTTTGGGGAAAAACACACAAACTTGGTTACATTGTGCAATACTGTTTTTTCTTGATGTATATGATATCATCTACTGATTGGTGCTGGGAGTGTGGAATTGCATTCCATTTTCATTTACTATACTTTACAAGGTCTTGCTCTATAATCCCTTTGGTATTTTGTTCAGACCTGCTCTACCAGGAGTAGTTGTTTGCATTTCATAAAATTCATAAGTTACTTTTACTTAGAGAGAACTTTTTCATAGATCCAGGGCTCTGTAAATGTCCTCATAAAATACTTTTCCTTTTCTTGAAACAGTTTCTCTTTTGCCAACATGTGGAGAGACAACAAATGGCCTCCATTAATTTTTTGTGGAAGCAAAACGTTAAAATGTATAATTTCTTAGAAAGAGAAATGTGGTGTATTCAAGTGACAGAAGTGTTTTGTTTATTACTATTCAGTAAAATTATATTACACAAAAAAGGAAATTTCCATCTTGTGCAACAATGTGTAAAAGACCACCAGTTTAATATTACTGATGAGAGTGATGACTGAAAACAGGAACCAATTCACATACCCAGTTCACTGTAGCTGAAAGACAATGCAATTAAGGATATCGAGGACAGCATTCTACTGACCTTTTTACATAACAGGACTGACTGTGTGGCCTTTCATCTTAAATTCACTGTTATTTTTTAGTGTTGCTATTTATTCAAATTGTGAAATCTGCAGTACTTATTGCACCAAAGTTGCTTTGTCATTCTTATATAAAGGACTGATGTCTTTTTGTTCAAATGGCACCTCTGGAGGTCCTTCCCAATAGCCGCTAAGTTGGTTGGCATCAAAAGAAAATAATCCTTTTGTAGTCACTCTAAATCTGTATTGAGGTTAGAGTGTCAATATGAACTGTCAGTCTCCTTCCTCATTAAGCAATAATCACTTTTTTATATTTAATGAGGAGAATGGTTCAAATTTCTTCACGTTCTACCAAAATAGAATGACCAAAACTAAATATTGGGTGTGTAAGTGGTTAGTTATGGTGAATATATGTAAAATGCAGAAGACTGCATTGGGCAGCCCTAGTGTTAATTTTTAAAAGAGAAAATCAGTAAGCTAAATAGCAAATGCAAAAAAAAACTGAAGTTTATCATCACAATGAATACAATGATTCTAAACTTTATAAACCTTAGGTTGATACTCTAAATGACTATTTGATGTACATCCATCTCCTAAGCATTTTAACCTGCTCAGGCTCACGGTTGGGCTTGGAACCTCTCCCAAGTGATACAGGGCCCACGGCTTGGGTACACACTGGATGGGATGCAGCTTCATCATAAGCACATACATGCATGAACTTGAACACACAGTCACATTCTCTGGGCAATTTACAGACTCCATGTCCTTTAACTCTGGGAGGAAACCTGTTTAGCACAGGGAGAACATGACAACACCACACACACTTATAGTAGGATTCAAACCCCAAGTCTTGGAGGTGTGAGAACAGCAATGGTACCTACTTAGCCATCCTGCTGCTTGTGTTAAATACAAACATACAAAATTATTGCATAACTACTTGCAGGGTATTCTAGAGATTTATAGTCAAACCACATTTGTGGCACATCAAGAGGTAGTTGGCAACATGACTAGTGTAGTCCTCTCAGTGCAATTGTACTGCAGACAATGCTGGTATTGTTTGCATAAGCGGACAATTTTATTATCTTAAGGCTACTTGGTTTTGAATGAGGACTGAAAAGAAGTGCCAGACTAAGTAGTAGGTGACAAGTAGGACTGAATATTTGGCTGTTGCATGGTAGAAAAAGTCATCGCGCCAATTTATTGTCTTTGTATATTACGTTAATTCATTAAGAGGACTGATGTACACTGAAAAGTATAATTATTTGGCTACATTCCTGTGCAACTGATGTCTTAGCGGCTTTTAAGATTAAGAAAAAAAGTTTGTTTAGGCACAGGTTTCAAATACATTATGTATCTGAGGCTTATTTCGGGGACTTCATAAATTAACACCATTAAATAATGCCCACTTAGTACTAGGAATGATGCATAATCTCCTTTTGAAAAGAAGATAAAATGGTGGTGGAGTGGTTGCTAGTAGACATATGTAACCAGTAGTGGTATTACTTGTGCAGTTGTGCTTCTCACCAAATTGGTCAACCCAAACTGTGACTGTAACTGGGAATCTGAAGCTAATTCATGTAAGTTGTAGTGGTTAAAGGTATTTGCTTGATAACAACAACAATAATAATAATCATCATCATCCATCTTCTAACTGGTTATCCTGGTCAGAGTCAGCGCACAGGTCTGGGGTAGACCCTGGTGGGGATGCCGGTCTATTGCAGGACACATGCGTACACCCACACAAAATCACACACCATGAGCAATATAGAGTTGCCGGTTACCCAACTGTGTTTGTATTGCAAAAGCAAACCAGAATAGCCAAAGGAAATTGTGAAATGAGGAGAACATGCAAACTCCACACACAGAGGTGGGATTCAAATCCCAAACCACGGAGGCATGAAGCAGCAGTGCTAGATGCTGTTCCACCCCATATTACTATTCAGTGATGGGCAATCAACAACAAATTAAGAACATATTCTCTTGATCCTGCACAGAGAGGGAATGGTAGCATGGACAAAGATTCAGGCTTATGTTTTTAAGAATACAGAGGCACTACCGTAGTTTTACTGCAATGTTTGCGTTTTTTGTGGTTAAGAAACAGGTGTGGCTTGCCGCTCTAGTTGAGACATTGGCTTTTTGGCTTAACAGGAATGAAATGACATTGTTCTTTCTCAAACATTTTTGGATAGTATGTTACTACACTAGATGGTAAAAATATCAATTGCACTTTTCATTGTATGCTAAAAATCCATCCACTCTCTTAGTTTACTGCTCAAACAGATATTCCATTAATCTGTCTTCTAACCACATATATTGGCCAGGGTTGCAGAAGGGGCTGGAGCCTATAGCAGATGGCATAGGGCACAAGGCTGGGGTAACCTGGACAGGCTACCCAAGCAACATGTGGAGAACATGCTAACTCCACATAGACAGAGCAGAAGTGGTATTCAGAACCCCAGAGATAGAGGTTAGCCGTTTAAGGCAAGGGTGGCTAAGCGGATAGCTGTCCCTATTGTAGTGAGACTTTTTGTTTAACTTTATAGCACTGTAGGCTTTATTAAGTATTTTCCTATGTTTTTGTGGACAGCAGAATGTTATTCTAGCCTTAAAATAAAGCTAGTCATATGAGAAAAAGAATTTATAAATCTGTTGCTGTCGTATTTATTCAGCAATATATTCTTAATTTCGATCTGGTGTCCGTTTCTGTCTTGACTTCTAGTTCCTCTGTAATTTCTACGAGGCCCCGAAGTTGTCGCTGCTTACGCACGCGGGCGTGACGTCACGGGCTCGCTGCGTCTGCAGTGGGGGTGTATCCGCGATCACGGCCAGCGCCTGCACGCGCAAGAGAATGCTGTGAATTAAACTGCTTTTGGAATACAAATTTTTAATATTCAAAGATAATCATTTAGCAAGCCGTTTTCCAACTGGCATGAAAACGGAGTGGGACTTCTTATCTTCCGTTAACCTCGTGTATGAATGTAGGATTTTAGAGCATCTTCCGAGAAGCAGCCGATAGGGAAGTGCCTAGCTCGGTAACTGTCGGGGTTTTATCTCGCTAATGCAAAACAACGCAAACAAAGAAACTGGGAAATCGGTACGTGTTCATCCAACTTTTCCAAGACAAAAGGAACACGTCAGTTCGTTTACTTTACTCGTTTACTATCTAAAGTGACGCGTCCTCTCAGATAATCTGTTAGTTTGAAAGCTAATGGCATAAACGGCTAAAGCCGAAATGCTACATGACGAGCAAGCTTTAAAGAGACTGTAATGAAATAATAACCATATAACAAACGCTACAAAGGACCTATTGTTGTAAATATATGACGTATTATCCGGAACTAATCCACGGGTGAGTGTATATATTGCTCAGTTTGATAAAAGGTGAATAATGAAATTAGCAGTCGTTTTGGATGTTAAAGAAATGCATTTATTGTGATCCAATCGATTTCATCTGCTTTGATACCGTCGTAATTAATACGGAAATTAGTTGGGCACAATTAACAAGTGGAACGTGGTTTTGTTGGCACGGCACGTGCGCTGGTTTCACTGCCTTTTGTTTAAAGCTTGCTAATGGCATGGGGGGGGGATATCGCCTCAAATTTTGTGTTTACTTCGTTAATTAACAGTCCGCCTATAGTGATTCTGCACGGGTAGAGGTTGGGGTAAAGTTTTTTTTCGGGAAAATTTCATTTTACCCGCAAACTTTGGGAACGCGTGAAGATATTTATTTGCGCGGCTGCTTTCTTTGTTATTGCTTTGTTTCTGTTGGAGACGCACGTGGCTCGGCCAGCCTTTCCTGCCTGGCCTTAAAGCTGCAGTGTCCGCTTTCCCTGCAGCCTGACCCATGGCTGATATGGAGATTCCAGTGCCTCCGAAATTATATACCCAGCTCTCCTGGAGTTTCCTGTGCGTATTGTACGCATCCTACTGAAAACTGTAGTTATTAGTGCTGTTTTTTATATTATTGCTGTATATTTTTACTTGCGCATTAATGTAAGTGGAGCAAAGAGAGATTGAGGTCTTTAGCTATTTAGGACAGCTACGGAATTGTCAGAATATTACCACAGTGGTTAGTGGTAAACAGTCCCTTGTTTGATTCGACATTGGGAATTCGATTCTATATAGATAGTTTTAACTTTTTAATCCATAAATTGCCATGGTTGATGTAAGCAGTGTATATGGACATATGAACATGATCTATATTGATAATATAGTCACCCCGTCTTTATTTCAGAATAATGTTGTTTAAAGATGTGAAATAGTCATTTATAATACAGCCTCTGCAAGTGTGCGGCCCCTTTTTAAATATGGATATTCCACTTGGTGACCTGATGAACACTAACACTGAAGGTTACCTGGGCCCACTGACGTTATGGAAGAGTCTGGAATGTTCCATATTGCCCAGTGTAGGCCTTTTTATTAATAAAAATTAATAGGCAAGTTTTGGGAAATATCAGTTTATTCTTTTTATTTGATGTGACATTAATGTGATTTTGTTGTCCTGTGAGCCCCAGGAATTACAATTATCTGATATCTATTGTGATGAATTTGGTTCTCTGCGGTTTTTTGGCCTGACGGAAACTATATTTAAAATCCTCTCAGCATGATGTAATTGGTGCTGATTTAAAATAAGTTGGCAAAAACAAATACATTTGTCATTACAGCTTATTAAATAGTAACATGCTGGGTTTCTATACTTGCATCCGACAGCTTGAAACAGCCTTTAAATACCAAAAAAAGCAAGTACACGTTTAAAGGGAATGTATCTGACATAAATTGCGTTTTAGGGGGATTTCTTTGAATGTTCCCTTTCACATATGTCAGGACTGGGCAGTGGTTTTCTGTGGAGGGCCAAATCCAAGCTTCCCCATGTCAACATAACTATTTTTATGTCCCATGGAAGCTACAATTGAAGACTTGTTACAGTTTCCTTTTTCCCGATTTAGGGAATACATAAAGCAATCAGTAGAACCACTGCATTTTTCATGTTTAACTTCTATAAAAAAAAAAATCACCCCCCCTCCCCTTTTTTCCCATTTTAATCATCATGCAGGTCAGTAAAAATATATGGCCCATATGCTGGTTTTTGCCCAGTTGTGCCACATATGCTGGTCAACATGTGACTGGCTATTGTACACTGTCACACTGTTACTATTGTACACTGTCTTACAGTTCCAGGTGGTTTTTCTATTTGAAATACCATAGCAGAGCTACAGGTGCTTGTGAGCCACAATTCATTATTTAACTGGTTACCCTTCAGTAGCTTGTCCGTAAAAATAGGTGATCGACCCATACTGAACATGCTTATGCTGAATTTGACATAGTAGCATGTGACTATTTGTTATTACTGAGATTTTGAAGTAATAATGCTTAAACTTTTGAGGGCATTTTGTGGTAGGTTTGTCTCGTTTCGTCTCCTTTCATTTTTAAGTCATGTAGATGGAATGGCAGGGTTTCTTACATGGACATTTGCATTTTAAACTTGTATTTTTCATGTATTAATTTGCTGGTGCTCTTATTGAGAGCAAATCTGAACAAACTTCCTTTACAAGGTGCTTTTCTCCCTGGAACATAAGGTTCATATATAGATGTATTTTGAGGTCAGATAGATATAATGAGAGCAACTAAGAGAGATTTTATATTCTAGCCATCTGCTAGGGGCAAGGTTATGACACGGTTCAACTGTTTGCACATTACTAAAACGTACTAGATGCTGTCAGGTGACCACGAGGTCTTCTTCATTCTTTAAAAGTCCAGAGTTTATTGCTTATTGAAATTAAACTGCTTAAGTGTGTTGGTTTCACCCTAACTCATAAAAAGCTTTCCTTTTAAAAATGCTACATGATCAGGAATATCTGCAACTATTTAAATAGTTAAAATACTATGTGACATAATTAGTAATGCTCAATTATAAATGTTGTTGGTGCACTTGGTTAGCAGTTTTTTTTATACAGTTGGATGCTCTTAGAAATAAAAGAACACCAGGAGTTATCTTCAGATTAATAAGCAATGTTTAATCATGATGGCCTGTTCCATCTTTCAATCAGACTGAAAATTACAATTTTGAGACACATGCTTCGTAGGATAAAAAGTTTGAATTAAAAATGCTTGCTAGCTGTAATTTAGTGTAAGTGATGTATTATTCAGATGTGTATTGGTATTTCCATTAAAGCCATGTGGTTTGTAGTTACCCTAGAAATGTATTGGGAAGATACACCTGTGAAAAATATTCTTTGTAACAACGACCCCTGAAGTGAGTGTTTTATTCTGAACCCAGAGTGAAGACAATCTGAGGGTCAGAGACTCAAGTGCCTCAAGCACTGCTGTTCTGCTGCTCCTGAGTGTGACTCGTCCCCACGACGTCACCAATGCGACCATGGGAAATTGCAGTCAATAGGCGGCCACCAATAGCCCCCTTAAATCAGAGGAGGTTCCAGGGGGAGCCTTGTCACGCCCCAGTGCATCTCAGGAGAAGGTCAGTGTCTTGTCTTGTTTCATGGCCAATGTGAAGCAACTGCATATAAAAACTTTCTTGGTGTGTTCCTGATTTACGTCTTTTAAATAGCAAATAATAATTAAAAAATTCCAGCTAAGCTACTAAGTTGTTTCTGCAATTCAGTGTAATGCTGTTTGAAGATTACGACATTGTTGCAAGAACATTGTGCTGGCTGCTTAAGCTTCTGTCTGTATTTTTGTTTTATTTAAATCCTCAGCTGTGAACATTCTTTGTAAAGTTTCCTATGCAAAGGTAAATGTATATGCAGAAGAACTGTCTGAAAAGTGACCACGTTTCTCAAAAAATGATTTCAAAAATAAATTTGAATTGTTCTTCCAGCTTTCAAGAGAATTTTACTGTATCTTTTGTGTGGTCACTGTTATTGTTTTGTCATTCCACTGACAATATGAAAGTCAAAAGTACTATTGTTTTGTAGTATAGTATAGAGAGAGCATGATATTTTTTCTAGTCTGATCCCGATATCAGTATTAAAATTTTGTCTGCCGATACTGATGCCAATCTGATCATTTTTCCCCTTTGTCAACTACTAAGCATTAAATGAGATTTGTATCAATACATTTCAATTAGCATGGTAAACTCTCTGCATTTAGTGTTGTAGCAGTATTGTTTCAATATACTAAGGACAGAAATATTATGGTTATGTTTCTTAAACAAAATCTGTGCTACTACACTACAGGAAAAAATCTACATCCACCATGATTTACACAAATCTGCTTCTTTGTTTTATTCAGTAACAACTTTCACAAAAATATTTCACAGAAATATTTCTTAAAGTGCAAATTGTGCCGTCTGTTGCTAAATTAAGTATAATTAAGAAATCAATTATAAAAATGTCACTGTAACCATTTCTATTCAAGTGCACTTAAGTCTCTGGTATAAAATATACAAAGGAGCGCAGATAAAACTTTTAAGTAGCAATTAACCAAACTTTATAAATAATATAAGTCTGAAAACATGTAGTTTGTGTGTGTGTGTGTCTGTGTATGTATATATTTTTTTTCTGTGTTCAGACTTCAGAAAAATCAGCACTAGCTTATATTGCACTCTGTAGAGCAATATGGGTTTTTCAGTGGGAAAGTGTAGAAAAATACATGAGTAACACAACTGCTTAACTTTTAAACATTTATTTAATGTTAGTAACATACAAAAACAATAATTTAAATATTAATCACACTTTAAACAAGGGCATGCGGAATTTTAAAAGTAGTACAAAAAACAATAACTTGACTGATGTTTTGTGCCTCAATTTCTGACAAAAGTAACAAAACGTTTCATAATTGAGATCGTTTCGGCTTTGTGGTGATGTCATTTATAAAGTGAAACGGATGTAAACTGGAGGGATTTAGAACTTCTGGCCGTCATGCAGCTTCACCACTGTGCGTGCTGATAAAGCACATTACCGCACTGGCGAAGTGAGTCTTCTGCCTGGCCATCACTGCATTGGCCATGTAGTTTGATTAATTGGCTGATGCTTAAACATTGGTCTATTTTTTTTGGCCGACCAATCGGCTGACCTCTACTATGGGGTTTTGCTTTTTTCTTCCTTCAGCATAAAGTGCCGTAATCCCTTCACATTCACAAGGCTTAGAGGCAGAAGATATTCACAAATAGTATTTTGAGAAACACAAGAGTCCATCGTCACAAAAACAGCTGGTTATGAGGCTGGTTTCCAAGACTAAAACTTGCATTGAAGCCAAGACTTTAAATATTAAAGACATGGTATGCACTAATGCTAATAGATATGTATTACTAATATTAGATGATTTTATGTGATCCAGATCATTTTCAGTATTGTTTTTGGCTTACATGTTGTCTGTGAGTTTCTTCTATCTTTTGGCAAACTCCAAAAATATTCCTGTTTAATTGTTCACAGCCAATTTGCGCATAGCCAAAACCGCGAATGTCAAACGTGCAAGTGTGAAGGGGTTACTCTATTTCCACATGGCTGACAACTCTGACGCACATGATTTGCTGAACTGGGCATCACGTGACTCTCACTTCTGTTTACAGTAGAGATGATAAAATGGGTGGATGGAAAACAGACAATAAACTTCCTAGGCATCATTGTGAGGATCATATTAATAAGTACAGTGTTGTGCTAAACATTTTTGTGGCTTTTCAGGATAGATCTATCTCTGATGGAAAATTGTTTTGCCGTCTTACTCTCCCATCCCCCTATATCCGATTCAGCATTTTTTGCCGGTATCGACCCGCGATCGGTAGTGGGTATTGGATTGGTGCTATCTCTCGTATAGTATGTGATGGGTAATTTCAGTATTGTTGAAATGCTTGATATAAATAATACGGTTATAATAATGTAATGACACATGGGGCCTGTTTCTGGTTTCACTGTAGGGCCATTAAGCAAGGCTGTAAAAAACATCTGGTAAATAAAATTGTAAATAAAAAAATCTTTATAACTTGCATAGCATTTTTACAGGCAGTAAATTGTCATAATACAAATATGATTTATTAAAAAAATGTTTAAGTACTTTAAAGTGGTCTAGCTTAGAAACAGGAGATGTCTTTCCGTAATCTTTAAAATACCATAAGACGAACAAATGTAGCACTTAATAGGGAAAGTGTTCTTTTTGTGTGCACGTAATCCTTTTTTTTTTTTTAGATGCCAGCAAGCCATTTAAACTTCTATAGGATAATTTTTCCGCAGTATAATTCAAATCCATGCTCATATTTCTGTGTAAATGCATAAATCAACTTCAGCCAATATTTCAAAACATGTATCTAATTTGTGAGATATTCGGGAGGTATTTATGATGAATTCTTATTTGGAGTCATCGCAGCCTTTGATGCTTGGCACTGATGATTTATTTACTTATTTCCCTTCGGCCCGTTAGCTTATTCACATAGCATTTTGGCTGTCATGTTGCTTGTCACATTGTGACACGCCTTTTACAGTCCAACAGCATATATTGCAGTTTATTTGGCAACTCTGAATTGCCCTTAGTGTGTTTGTGAATAAAGGCCCTGCAACGTACGAGTATTACAGCCAAGGTGTATCCTGCATGGGGTCACAGGCTCCGGTCTACTTTAAACATACGGATAAGCTGCAATTAAAATGGGTGCATGGAATTCATCCAGTAATAAACTTCCTAAACATCACTGTGAGGATCCTATTAGTAAAGGATGATGAGAAGGACTGTACATCTTATGCTTGTATAGATTTTATTATGCTACATTATGTTTGTGCATGAATCTAGCCTGTGTGTAAATATAATATATCTCTTTGTGGAAAATGTATATAAATGCAAATCATACACACACAATACACTTAAGGTGCAGGTTTTGGGAAGGGCTACAACAGGGTTCGATTTTTGTCATTGGCGGTTGTGCTTGTGAGCCCAGGGGATGAACAAAAACTGACGTGTTGTATGATTGGTAACAAGGCACAAGTAACCTCAAACCAACGAGGTTATCACCTGGCTTTGCTCCATCCCTGACAAACATGCAGGCCTTAATCATGTGGGATGATATCATTCATGGTATGTTAAAAGGATAGAATTTGCTTAGAAATGAGCATAAGCTTAATATGTTAAGGAGGAACAGAAATGCTTTAGTTAAAAAAAAAAAACCAATGTTAGAAACTGATTCCTTTTTAAAAAAGTGTTTGCAATAATGTACAGTAAGGCTGTTAAGATGCATTGATGCATTGTGATCAATTGGTTATTAAGGTGATTATTCAGCTGCATTGATCTGCAAAATCCTCCTTAAATATACTCCTGCTTCCTGGCTGTGTTTACTCATGTTCACATGCTGTAGGAAGACATGAAAGGTACAGTGCTGTAAAGTAGCATGGCATGGAATGGAGCCTGCACCGGTGCCGCACGTTGCCACACCCACCTCATGGTGAAACTAGCCGAGATCCAGATTGGCTTCCCTCCCCAGGCCGATATACGGTCCAGTCCCACCCTATGGAAATGTCCCTCTATCTGTCACAGCCAGGTGTTTCGTGGGCGTCCCCTTGGCCCGGTCCAGCCGCCTGGGTCCTCAGCAATGAGGATCCTGCGAGCCGGATCACCCTCAGGGAATCGCACCACATGGTCATAGTGCCGTAATTGACGCTCGATCACGATACAGGTAATGTGCCTCATTCGGGATTCCCTGAGCAATTGCATTTTCGAGACAGTCAAACCAGTAGTACCCAAGGATTTTCTGATGTGACACTGTCCCAAAGGGGTACAGTATTTATCTTTGGTCGCTGAGTAGCGTCCATATCTCACAGCAAGATATCGAGAGTGCCATATACCCCTTTCCCTTGCCACAGGAACACTGATTAATATTTATAAAATAAGGGCTACCTGATCTTTGTGCTACGTCGTTTTTGGGGGCAAACTATACTCTAACAGTTAATAAATTCTTTGTGCTATGATGCTTTTGGGAAATGCCCCTCTTTTGTAACGTAAAAAAGTAATAATTTTTTAGCTACCTACTGTAACTATGGTCAAGGTAGCTAGCCAGATAAGTAAAAAGTAATGTAAGCCTTAGAGATGCATGACAAATTGGTTAACAAATTGGTTTCAGCTGGTAATTTGTTTAAAAAAAAAAAAATCAAGATATCGGCATCAATTCAATGTGTCAGTTGTGGCCAATATTTAAACTTTATTAATATTCAAAGATGGCAGCACCAGAGCTAAGGACACAACTACTAAAATAATGGAGATAATTGCATGGGACAATCATCCATTTTCTGTACTGGAGGACGAGGGATTTCATCGGCTCATTCACCACTTATGAGATGTCAAAGTACCGGCCTGTGAAATGTTTATAATTCGTTATGAAATCTGGTCTGCAGATTGATCTTTCTTTTCCCATAGAATAAAAAAGTGATGTGACGTCATTCACCTAATCTGTGCCGACAAGTTTCACCGCTGGGAACCTCAACCCCCGCAGCACGGCCAATGGTTGAGACCTTAGCCAGTTATCAGTATTGGAGATTTTAGACAAAAATATATTGGATATCGGCAAAATTTCCACATCGGTGCACCACTAGTTAGCCTAAATGAGAATGGCTAATCAGGTAGTGCTTTCTTTACAGTTCAGTACTTGGCTTTTTTGACAGTCTACGCTTGCTTGCTCTCCCTGTTTGATAAAGACAATAAAAATTTCTGTTCTGAGATGTCTTTTTTTCTATTCTACTAATAGTGTGTAGTTTTCCATGGTCATGTTTATGATTTTTTTTTTTGTGAAGTTGAAAAAGGTTTTAATTTAGGGTATCGAGATAATTGAATAATTAATTTCTATCACGATTTGATTCAAAGACTTTTGATGCATCAAATCACTCCCACAATAATCATAATTGAATTGCCTTGGAGGCAATGAATCATATTCCTAATTCACAGGATACAAAATAATTTCTGTGCAACTGTGAATTGTCTGTTTGGGTTATATGGGATATTTCAATGTCTAATTTGACTATTCAAAGGAGCAGACAATTTTTAAATAAAACATTGAGTGTATCATATTGAATCCTCCACGTGAAAATTCACCCACCCCATTTCATTCACGTTTCTGATTCTTTCCCATAAAGACGTTAACTTGGGAAACCTGGATTAATATGAATACTAAACCAACCAATGTGGGACCAGAAAAACACCCCAGCTTTCGAGCTGTTAAGTGACAGACAGGGACGGATTACGGACCGGGCCAGCGGGACCGCTGCCCAGGGGCCCTTGGGGTGCAGGGGGCCCGTGGGGCCCCTAGCCCAAAACAATTTGCAACGCTTATCAACAATGTATTTTCGTTTTTCTATTTTAGAGGGCCTACATTCTTTGATCCTCTGCCTACAAGGGCCCCTGACCCTATAGGGCCTCTGATGGAAACATGGAGGGAGGGCGTTTGGCTGCCAAGGGCCCTTGAATTGTGGTGGTTCTGGTGGTGCTGGTGCTGGTGGTGGTGGTGGTGGGGGGGGGGGCCCTCGTGAATGTTTTGCCCAGGGGCCCACACAACCCATAATCCGTCCCTGGTGACAGAGGTACCTGTTCAGTCACCCTATGATGAGAAATTATATGGATCAGTTATATGTAAATGTTTGTGTAATACAATCAGAGCAAAAACAGCAGACAGCTTTATAAAGTGATGATTGCAGATGTTTACATTATCAGTGATGACCTTTGTAGGTCATTGTAGGTGTGTTTTTTGATCCTTTTGTGAGACCAGTTGTATAGGTCTGGGTTATAGATCTATGGAGGCTTTCTGACATAATGTCAGCTGACTCAAAGTATTAAGGAAGGCCCACATATACCAGTTCTTAAGATGCACGTGCACTATTTATACTGTTTAGCAACTGGTTTGATTTGAAACCGGGACGCACACAAAGCATTCTGCAATTCACACCCTTTTTTGTGCTTACACCCCTGAATCGTGCCCACATTATGATTGAGTTCAGTGAGAGTATGACCCTCCTTGAAAACGTGCCTCTGAGTGGAAATTGGCAAGTACATTTATTTTTAGCATAGTGTCCCACTGTATTCTGCCTTGGGGAAAGCAAGTCTTACTAAGATTTTATTTTTCTGTTGCTATTGCAAAATGAATGAGGGAAATTAGAATTTAGAATGCCGTTAGCTCATTTATATTTTTAAATATTGTTTTCCATCAAAAGCCAAAGTATTTCTAATTGTTCTCTCACAGACTTGGATGAGAGAATTTTGTCATTATATTGATTATTATTTTTTAATCCACCCAGCCCAGGCCTGCAGCCAGAAATCAATTTCATGGGGGGTCTGGCAACCCTACCAATATGTCCCCCTCGGTAGAGTTTGCTGACCTAATTTTACTGCCTAGCTGTGTGTCAGGAACAAAACTAGATTGGTGGCTTTGTGGCTGACCCAGCCTGTGATGTTGTATTGAAAAAATGTTATGCAATAGCAATTACTTTAGTAATTCATCGCTGGCTACTGTTTAAAACCGACAGAGTTTATCTATCACTTAAGTAAGATAATCTGAAATACTTGTCCACTGTGCTTTGCATGGCATTGGCATTTCATCTAAGATTTAAGACTTTCAAGGTGATTAAACTATGGTCACCATGGCTAATATTTTTGTGGTTACAAAACAGTATTGTAAAATAAGTTACATGACTAATTTTCTAGCCATTCTGTTGCTTAAGGTCCTGATTTAAATGAATCTTTATAGTTCATAGATAGTCATATAATACAACATAACTTTGACCGACAGTTTAAATGAAATATCTCACAAACCAAATAGAGATGCAACATTTTCATGCTGGTGTAAATCGTAGATAAGCTGTCTTAACATATGATTACACATATGATTATTTTTTTAAGTCGCAAAACCAGCAGTACCCTCTTTTAGTCATTCAGATTCCACAAGTTTCTATTTGTAAATCAATTGGAAAATGGCCTGTCCACCTTAAAACGAGGGGTTTTGTAAGTGGCGTGACAACTATCATTAACGAGAGACTTTGTAACTGTATCTTGTGGCTTATGAGTTAGTAGTGATGTCAAGTCTTTGCCAAGTTTCATGCACTATGTAGTATCGCACTTCTTTTCTGTTTTACTGATTACTGTATTGCAAAATACTTGCTACACTGACAGAACAAATTTACTTTTAACCTTGGTATTTTACCCTTTATTGTTTTCCCAAATTGGGGAATACATATGGTTTTGGTGACCAGTGGCAATGACACAAAGTATTTGTCAGGTCGTTTTCACACATTGCAGACACCTTGCATGAGTGAAGATCTGAAACTGACCAAATGCAAAAACTGGAGCAAGGTCAGTTATCGGTGGCACATGGAAAGACAGGCGCAGATCTAGTGAAACTAATTACATCGAGACAAATGTCACAAAGTTGGGCTTTTAATAAAGATTTTTTTGGAGAGTGGGTAGGGAGGGGTAGAAATGGTGGAGGTTGGCGGGTGTGGGAGAAGTGATGGGGCTGTCCGCGGAATTCGTTATTGTTCTATCAGCATGTACTTCAAATATTAGTCTTGAAAACGGCTCATTTTTTCCATGGCACTGTAAACAAGTGTAATTTCCTGTCTTGCGGAAATAAGTTCTTACAACAGTGATGAATGTCAGCATTTATTGTTCCTTTCCTTCTGTGTTTTTGTATGTGTATGAAGAGTTTTGAAATATTTGTAGAACATTTTCATTTTTTATATGGCTGTGTGTGTATCATCTTGGGTTTTATCATTTTGATCACAAAACCTATACAGCTCGTTAGATATTCAAATGTGTTGATGTGTTGCATTTTGCTGACCAATCCAACATCTTTTGTCCATTTCTGGACCCTCTAGTCCTCCCGTGAGACGGCAGTGGGGACGCAGAGACAGACCTGTACTGCACAACTTCCTGCACCAGGGTGAGAACTTCCACTATCCTCTCCTGTCACAGCATCAGCAGCAGATTTCTGTAGATGAGTCCCGACTGTACAGTCACACCAGCGTACCGCCACGAATGCTCCACCCTGCCCCACACCCGCCTCAACAGAACCCCATCATGGTGGATCTTCATGAGCAGGTAAGGCTCCTCAAGGTAGTGGCCAGTTTACTTATTGTTTTCTTGCAGTGATTTCCAAACTGGTAGTAATGAGAATTATCTGTGATTTAAGTTTCCTGCCCCATTGGAAAAACCTTGGGTATCCTTACTCAGGGAGCATTGTGAAGAATGAGATTTTACCTATATGATTATAACATAGGGCAAATACTGGAAAAAAATGGAAAAAAATTCATAGTTATATGTTCAACCGATAATGGAAAATCAGTTGTGAATAAATATCTTTTGTGCAGAACCCCTCAAACAAGAAAGCTCAAGAAAACTTACATGGCATCCAAGAGCTGGCGAACCAGTTGCGAGGAAAACGTGAATATGAATGAGAGTGCTATTTACGAGTATTTTGTTTTGTATTTCTATGGTGACTTTTGATGTTCCGCAGGCACTGTCCTGTAGTCATCCACCAGGTTTAATATGATGCAGTGTACGGACTTGCTCTTTGTGTTTTGGAACTTTCATTTGTAGCTTGTATTTTGAATTTATCAAAAGGAATTCTTAGCTGGGCTATCAAGGCTGTCTGCAATTTTTATTTAACTTGAAAAGGAATTAACAATGGTAAGTGCATGTCTTGTTCAACCATGCACATGAGCTAGAAAGCTCTAAATTCCAGCCAGGAGGTTGCACTTCAGTGGCTGACAGTCTGGCTGTTAACTGGAAGATAGAAGGTGGTGATGTGGCAACGTCAAGCTTCCTGACTTGCAAGAACAGGGAACACACTATTACTGCGACGGGCAACACTTGTGAAACACCGCACTATAATAGCCACGATTTTTTAAAACTGCATTGAAAATGTCTGTTATCTTGCTTTGTGTGTAGCCAAGGCCTATGGTAATCACTGGTTAATCACTGTCAGATATTGATAGTGGGTTACTTGTCTGATGTGGTCAATTACCAAAAAAAGCCATTTTAGAAAAGGGCGAATCTTGTAGTAATTGCTTGTCACTAAAATTGCTGCTTGTGGGTAGATATTCCGCTGGTTTTATAACTGAAAATGTGTTCATTTCTGAGATGTTTGGTTTTTCCTTAGGTAGGGAATGAGAGTTACTGTTAATATTTGATTAACATTAGAAAATATTGTTCTTGTTGATGTCCCTTTTTTTTATCAGAGTAAGTTTTTCATATTTGTGTTTCTAAGATTTAGGTTAGATTAACAAGATACTCCAGGTACCCATTTTTAATGGCCCTCAAAGACTGTTGCCGAGCCCCCATCCAGCTGCCTGTCTGGGGCTGGGGGGGCAGGGAGCCTCTTCCAAGCAGCAAAGAGCTCAACACTGGAGTGGCACATCGCTGCCTTTAATCTCTAGTTTATATATGTAGGAACTTTATGTCTTACTTTCCAAAAAGATGGGAAAATGTAGTTTGATAAATGGAGAGGTGTGTTTAATTTACTGAAATTTGTTTGTTAAAGGTCAAATGCAGCGAATTAGAATAAGCTTATTTTTAATAATAAAAAAAACAATGAGTTTGGTTCATCTTTTCATGATAATCCAAGTAGTAAAGCTTGGCAAACTATTCATATTATAGTTTATGTAGGTTTTTGGTTATTCTGCGGGGAAAAATAACATTGAATTTTGAAGTCGACTTTGACCATGTACTATTTGGTTACATTGGTAAGCTACTCAGCTGCTCAGTTAATAATGCATTTTGCTTCAGCTGCGGTAAGCAATATTAAAGATACTGTCAAACAATAAGAGAATGCTTTTTGACTGCAGTGGTTTCAGAAATTCGGTAGGAGTTGTGTTTTTGTGCACCTCTTTTCCAGATGCACCAGGGACCGGTCCCGATATCTTACACAGTTACCACGGTGACAACACACGGTTTCCCCCTGCATACCGGTCAGCCTATCCCAGGGTGCAACACACAGCAGCTCCCAGCATGCTCGGTAATGTTCAGCGGACAGCACTCTCTCCTCAGCCGCCTTCTTCCCCCTGTGAGTTTGACAAGGAAGTGCTAGTATGTCAGTGAAGTTCTTGTAGTTAATACATTACCACCACTCCCCCACCAACAGCTCCTCCTCATCAACTGTCCAGGATCCTAGCCAGGTTTGAGAGTTAATGAGGTCCTCTGTAATGTATTAAGCAGCTCCATCATGTTAATGAATGTCCAGTGGAGCTTTTCAGTGAATAACAAGAAATAATCATACGGGATAGAAAACTTGACACGTGGTGATCTGTAGTAAGAACGCAAGTCTTCCTACTGCTTGTCAAGTTGAAAAACAAAGGCCAATAAGCTACTAATACAGTAAACATGACATAATTTGAAATCCAACTAGTCTGCAAACAGCTGTAATATAGGTGGCACGATGTTGGGAATCATATTTACTACGAATGCAGCAAAGATGTTGACTTAACTTCATATTTTGCTGATAATTAATTTTTTGATAAAACAGTATTGGTGACATACTCAACTAACTTGTTTACCTACTTCGTTTTGTTAGGGGGAATGAGGACAAGGGTCAAATTAACAAATATCTGATAAGGGCAAGGAAAGACATCTGTTTAATGACTTCCAATTTCACAATTTTTCACTTCTTTATTTTCCATTCTATAAATTCAGTTTCCATTCTAAAAAATCAGCAGTCTACACAGCCAGACAAATTTCTAAACCATCATTCCAAACTTTTTGCCTGTTTTTAATATGTTTTCTATTGCAGTTTCTACCATTGATTTTGTGAAATGTTGAAATTCTGCTGTGATTGTAAAATGTCAGTAGTGTCTTGCCTCTAGATGTTACTTTATTCATCCAGCTGCCCCAGATTAATCTGCCTGTACATTTCAGTGTATCTGCACCCTTCTAAACAGAACAACTTGGCCATTGATTTATTTTCAAGGCAATTCTTGTCACAACCCCCACCCCACCAGAATTGGCTTTCGTGGTAATTGACTGGTGGGGATAAGTTCTGTTGAAGAATTTTAACATTTGTAGCTTCGCTGTGAAATTGTTTACAAAAGTAAGATATTCATTTAAAAGTGGCTTGAATAGAATCGTGTTTAATGGAGGCCATTATGGGCAGTAAGTTGGCCTTTTCCGAAATCTTGTTTTGTCGTATCACTGAATTGTAGTTGTTTGTCCTGCCAGCTGTCTTTCAGAGATGGTCTCAAATGCACATATATAAATGTGCTTTTATCTGTGCTTTGTGATGAATGTGTGAATAGATATATTTTTAGAGAACGTGGCGATGGCGGCAATTAGGAGGGACATCAAAGAGTTTAAATGTGTCTTTGTTCACGTCTGTGTCATTTTGTCTCCTCTGTCCCTTTTTTCCGCAGCTGATTCAAGCCTGTACAATGCAGCACTTGCCAGTGTCTTACCAAGCCTTCCCGCCTCTGATCTCCAGTGAGCATTTTATATTGCACCCCCCACCACCAGTGCCCCCCCATCAGCCACCTCACCTTACTCCCATAAGCCAGTTCGTCCCTCTGCAGCCACAGCCCCCCCGCATGGTGAGTACTCCATCTGCTGTCCTGCAAAGAGAGATGTTTCACCTGCCATGTTAAAATTCCAACAAAAAAAAAAAATACAGACAGCCCTCAGGTTCAGAATGAGATCCATTCCCTAAGTCTGCCTCTAAGTTGAATTTGTAAGTAATTCGGAAAAATTATAGTACAGTACCTAATAATAATTAAACAGTAATAAGAAAAGTAACTACAGTGGTACCTTGGTTTGCATAATTTGTTCCGGAAACATGCTTGTAATCCAAAGCACTCGTATACCAAAGCGAATTTTCCCATTAGAAATAATGGAAACTCAGATGATTTGTTCCACAACCCAAAAATATTTATATAAAAATGATTAATACAAAATATAAAGTAAAAATACATAACACAAATTAACCTGCACTTTACCTTTGAAAAGAATCGTGGATGGTGTGAGGGAGAGAGGAGAAGAGGAGGAGGGTTATTTTGTAGGACGACTTTCACTATAACTAACGGAATCACTGCTATCTGTTGGTTCACTAGAATCTTTGTCTTTCTGTGCGACTTTAACAAGGAACCCATCCAATGACAGCTGCTTTCGCCTCCTTTCCGATTTCGTGGAAATGTGGACATTGCATTGTCGTTAAACAGATTCATCGCTTGCACTGCTACGCTCTTATTCAGGTGGTGCTTTTCTACTAAATTTTGACTATACGAGTGAGGCACGCCAACTGAGATCGAACATGGGAAACGATTACCCACAATCCTGCAGCGAGAGAGAGAGAACCACCATCGGCTCAGTTGTGATTACGTGATGCTAGGTAGTCAACGCGTATACGTAATACTCGTATTGCAAGACCTTGCTCATTTATCGAGTTAAAATTTATTTTAAAATTTTGTTCGTCTTGCAAAACACTCGCAGCCCGAGTTACTTGCAATTCTAGTTTTTACTGTATGTAATGTGTTGTACTTTACCTCGTACCTCGAGCCGACAAACTGCTGAAGCTGCGTAATGTTTTCACAAGTGTCACAAAGTTGTGTGTGCATTTCTTATTACGTACGACTGCATTTAGCCCATTTTTTAAAAATATAATAAGCTTTATGGCAATCGGTTTGCAAGTATGAGTTATCTGTAAATCAGGCGTTCTTAACCTGGGAACTGACATTTATTTACGGAATTTTATGGTGGCAAATGGCACAAACACGGTAAATTAAAACCCCCTCATTACTCTCTGCTTTTCACTTGGACTGTACAGTCACTGTGTTGTTCTGTTGCACCTTGAATCAACATGTATTCATGACATAATGGGCTGTAAAAATGCCTTCTTATGTACATTCCCAGATACTTTGAGAGCATTTACTTTCAGCACGTTTTACTGAGCATGTATTTACTTTTTATAGCCTTCACTTAATGTTATAACATACTTGTTACACTTAGAAAACCCTGGTTGATTCATCTGTTAAATAATATTTGATGACATTGACACCTGGTGATATTTAGCATTGCTTATTAATCTTACTTACACAATTGTGAGTGAATTACTTCTCTTAAAGTAGTTTACAAGTGCCACTCACAAGTTTATAGAAACAAAATACGAACACGTTAAAAGAAATGAGTATTCAGTTGTTGACAGTTTCACTCTGGCTTCATTACCTAGAACAGGCCGTTGTTATAGGGTGTCCTGAAATTACACGCATTGCCAAAAAGGTGATGCAATGCATCGTGTGTAATGACAACTTCCCCTTTCAGCCTCTGCAGAGAGTAGAAAATGAAGTGGACATGAGAGGTGAGCAACATCCTGTGGGTGGATTCGCTTACCCTCCCACCCACCACCCACCAGCAATGCCCCCATCTGTCCCCCTTCAGTATCTCCCTCAAGACCCTCTGCACCAGGACCTGCCCTTCGGAGTGGTAGGTATTTTACAGGAAGTGGTTTGGAGATGACAACAGTATTTCATAAACAGTGACAGTTCTAGATTGATTTTTGTTTGAATTTTTCGATAAAATGGTAACTACACAGATGCATCTACTATATATTGTTGATCTTGTATCACATGAGCACAGTCTCATGATATATATGTACATTTTTAGTGTAATAAATTAACCCTTCGTTTTTTTTTTTCATTAGACTTTTGGTTTTGGTGGAATTTAACTGTATTAATGGTCTCGCCCTTCATTGTAGCCATATCCTCATGTTCTGCCACGACGTGTTAATGGGCAGAGATACAGGTTACAGCAGCCCTTACCTCCCCCTCCTCCTCCACCTCCCTACTATCCAAGTTTCCTGCCGTACTTCCTGTGAGTAGCAGTCGAAGCCTTTCTTATTGTAGAATTCTTAATCCCTTAAATTGGTCCTGTGTACAGACATGAGCCGTATAACGATGTTTTGGTCAACGAGAGACCGCATGTATGACAGTGGCCCCATAACATTACAATGGAGCTGAAAAATTCCTATCACATAGTGATGTAGTGCAATGCATTACTCACGTGTTTGTGGTGCTGTGGGTGTAAACAAGTCTACTGCACTGCAAGTCATATAGAAGCATAGCACATACAATTATGTACAATATGTAATACTTGATAATTATGACTGTTATGCATTTTCTATACCGTACTTTTGTATCTTTATTTTAGAATGTATTTTTTCTACTGTAAAACTGAGCTATACCATCTAGGTTTGTGTAAGTTACGTTGTATTTCCCTGGACTTGTCCTCTTTTTCGGACCTAAAAATGCCCAAAACGTCCGGAATTTCGCTATGTTTCATTTTGACATTTGCTTTTACTGTCAGAATACTTTCTGTGAGAATATTTGTGTTCCTTTGATGCCTCTTTGCATCTTGCCCCTGATGTCAGTACACTCTGTGATGTTCTCACAATGAAGATTCGCCTAACAGTGCATTTCTCAGAATGTATCCCTGTCGTGAATAAGGGCATGACTGTACTCGGGCCCATAACATGGCCGGGATATTAACATGAATACATGAAAATCCGTAAGACAATGACTTATGTTCTTATGACAGTGCAGCTTCTGTGAATTGGGATGTAGCTATATCATAACAGAGAATTTACTTTTTGTGACGAAGTACATGCAACTCTTGTTCACAAAGCATAAAGTAGCAGTTTAAGGAAAGCACAAATCTGTACATTTTTATCACTTAGGATCATATTTGTGTAACTCTTCACACTTTATTCTTAACTTTGCACATTTTAACAATACCATTAGTTCCCATTTCCACTTTGATCAGAATCAGCCTTTATTCGCCAAGTGTGCTGGGGCGCACAAGGAATTTGTTCCGGCAGCTTGAGACTCTCTCATACATAGAGACACTATACAAGCTATACAACAATAAATGACACTATACAACAATAAATGACACTATACAACAATAAATGACACTATACAAACAAACAATAAATTACACTGTACAAAAAATTACAAGTGTGAAACATATAATATTATATACAAGCCCATGTGGGTAACATTGTGCATTATTGTGCATTATTTGATTTAGTTCTTTTAATTTAAAAGCGGTTTGAAAATGAATAATGTGGAAGTGTTTCTGGTTGTTCGTATAGATTATAGGTCTTACTTCTATACACATGTACTGTACATCATTGAAATCCTGTGCGGGTTTGAACATAGCTCATGTATGCCCCATAGTTGAGAATAGTCTGCATCTCCTTGTGAAAAGAAGTGTCCCTGTTTGGTGGGATGGTGTTTATTCACGTATGAACGTTCTTTCTCTTTGCCAAATTCTATGCAGCTCTATGCTTCCCGTGCCTCCAGCTGCAGTGGGGCCAGCGATCAGTTTGGACCTGGATGTGGATGATGTGGAAATGGAGAATTACGAGGTAAGCTACCCAGTCTTCAGGAATCCACCCCTCCTTTTTTTTTTCTTTTCTTTTTTTCTTTTTATTGAAATCAAAGTCACCTTTACAACTATGTTTATTACAGAATCCTTTTTTTTTTCTTTTCCACCAACCCTTTTGTGTGTCAGTTTTTGTGCGGCTGGGCCTGAACTGCTAAGATAGCCCCAGTCTCTGTTTTGACTGGTCGTTCTTGAGCCGACTCACTGACTCGCTGACTCAATGGTTTCCTAGGCGTTACTAAACCTCGCTGAGAGGCTGGGAGAGGCCAAACCTCGCGGACTCACCAAAGCCGATATCGAGCACCTTCCGTCCTATAGGTTCAATCCAGAAAATCACCAATCTGAACAAACCCTGTAAGAGCTGCTTCTGAGTCCTTATTAAGTTCACTTTTGCCAAGTGAAAGTTCCATGTGTCGTGTGTTAAGAGTTTTAATGCTGTTCTTGTTTCCTCCTAGGTGTGTTGTATGCTTTAGTGATTTTGAGTCTAGGCAGCTACTTCGAGTATTACCATGTAACCATGAGTTTCACGCTAAATGTGTCGACAAATGGTTAAAGGTAAGATATAGATTTCCTTTTTCTTGTATCCTTTGTTGGTGCAGACAACTCCAATTTCTTCCTCTTTACTCAAAAATATTTGAAGAATACTTTAGGAAACAAATGGTAAGATAAATACTGCAGAATACAGTAGCCCCTTCACATTCGCGGACTTAACATTTGCAGTTTTGGTCATTCAGGAGTTGGCTGTAAACAATTTTTGGAGCTTGCTGAAAGATTGCAGAAACTTGAGCACGATGTATAAGCCAGTACTGACTGATTTGGATTGCTGAAAACATGTAATGTAACTGTATTCTCTATCTTTAATATTAAAAATCTCAGCTTGGGTACTACATGTATCTTTGTCTCAGCAGCCAGCCTCACTCCTGTATTCGCTGTCTTTGTCAATCTCGCATTTCTCACAGTGACTTTTAAACTTTTCAGTGCCGTTAATTTTGCATTTTTAATAATACGTCCAAATCGTAGTTCATGTTCATTTAGGCTATCAGACTGTTAAGGGTTCGGGTTAGGGATGTCCAAGTATAATTTGCAAGTTTTGACATTTCCGGGTATCTCGGAACATAACCTTCAGGAATGTGAAGGGGATACTGCACGTTCATTTTAAATAATAATGAAAAAAAATTGTTTGGCCTAATTCAAATATCTTGTGTTGAATAATTTGGGAAAATATTAATGTAATTTGCATGTTTCTGTATGTTTGTGTGGAGTAGATTCATCATAAATAAAATGCTGTCCTTATGTTCATCTATACATCACTTCTTATAATTGTATCTAGTAGAACTACTCTAGCCAATGGTGAACAGAAAAAGTAGAGATGTGAAGCAGTCTGGTGTTTCTGCATGTGTATTTTGATGCACATTAGTCTGTTATCCAGATTTAACTTGATTTTTCGTAATCATAACCCATGTCTCAAACTCTGGTGTTCAGTGGTAGCGCCTTGACTTTATATTTCAGTTGTGCAAAATAAATGTGCTCAGAGAATAATTTTTCATTTGCAACTATTGAAGTTAAATTATCGAACCTGACATATCAAACTTTTATCCCTCCCCCTCGACAGTTCAGGGTGGGGGAGGGGCGCTATGATCCGCATTGGTGCAGCTTAGTTTTTGTCACTGGAAGCTGCAGTAATGGAGATGCAGATTGGCCCTTGCATTCACACAAAGCTTAACACCCTTTTCTTTGTATTACAGACTAATCGCACTTGTCCAATCTGTCGAGCCGATGCATCCGAGGTCCACCGGGATGTGGAGTGAGCCCAGATACGGTTAATCCAATGGGGGGGGGGGGGAAAACAGCACAATATAAAGGAGTCTGTTTCACGTGGAGACACGGGGCATATGGCACCCACCCCATGTCCCCCAAGTAAACGAAAACAAAAATGTCCCACCCACTCCCCGCGCCTTGAACAATAAACAGTCTAGCAACATATCTGGAGCTCTGTCGTTACCTCTGCTGAGCATTGTGTGAGATTGATGAAAGCTACTGCATAGTATAGCCACATAGCCATAAATTCTGGAGTTGTCCTGTGTACTTGTTTTGCCCTTGTGTTGCCAATATTCCAAAGATTTAACGTGTATAATCTTTCGTTGTGTTGCAACTCTATGGAAGAAAAGTAGGCATTTTTTTCCTAATACTAGTTTGATTTCTTTTGTTGTATTTTGTAGCTTAGACTCATTCCAAGTACTACACCAGTGATTTAAATGAGTTTTGGATTGTGGCTGGGAGAGTATGGAGCTACGTGTTGTGCAAACAGCAGATGAACAATAAGAAGAATTTCTTTTTTATGGTTAGTAGCAAACTGGACCATTCCACTGGCTTTGGATAAAAGCTTAACCACCAGAGATGCATGTTTGTATAGGTGATGGGCAACGTGAATTGTTAATAACGTATGTTACGCAATAATGTATTGATGATTTTGATATTTCTTTCCCAGTTTATTTTGTTTAATTTTTTTCATTTTAATCAGCGAATGCTATTGTGAAAGTCTTGACTTGCTGTGGTAACAGGTGCAGTATCTCTTTCAGGCCTGAGGTAAAAGAAAAATAGGATTGGGACTGATAAAGATGTGCTGGTTTGAAACCTCCTTTATGCTTTATCGCTCACAAAACTAAAACATTTAAAAGGAATCTCTCCTGGAAGGAAGGGGGGGCGTTGCAGTGGAGTTGCCATCATCGCTCTTGTAGAGGGCATCGTTTCAGACATCTGATACCAGGGGAGACAGTGGGACGTGGAGATTTCCTCACGCCAGGTCTGCTGGGCCGCGCTACCCCAGCAGCACATCCTTCAAGCCAGCCTTGTCCCTCTGCCAAACACTCACCCTCTCTCCCATTCTTGGAGCTGTTGCTTTGTGTGGCTACTGGATCCAGGGGATTGCTGGGCAAATTTGCATGGGCTGTTGATTTAGATTAGCAATATTTAAATCAAGAATCACCACCATTTAAACTGTCAGGAAAACAAAAAAAAAAAAAAAAAAATACTTGGTTAAACCAGGAGGAACCAGGTTTGATGGATGGCCTTTGTCTTACCATTCTTTACACTTCTGCATCGGCCATGGGAAGACGGTCGTCATCCTGCTACATCAAAGTTGACTTTGGAGATGTTGGGAGTCCTTTGCAGAAAGCAATATGTGCAATTAGTGCCGGTGTTAAACCGAACACTTCTTCATGTTTTAGGAAGGCCAGGTTTTTCCTCGTTTGTGAACCAAATACTCAATATATTCTTCAAGATTTCAGCTCTGCCTTTCCAAGACCTTGACAAGCACAAATGTATTAACTACTCATCTTAAAAAAAACAATCTTTCTGTTATGTTCACTTGTTTTAATAGTAGGGTTTTTAAATTCTTATTTATTGGTTTTATCCTTGAGAGAAAACAAACTGAAGGATGAGGTGAAAGTACTAACGTGATATATAATTGTGTGATGTATAGGCAATTTTGTCAGGTCTCAATCCTTGTATTAGGTGGTGTGTAAAAGAAACATTTTAAGCATTGCAATGAAGTGAACAGCTTAAATGGTCTTGTTTTTAAGACAAAAGAATGTTTAAACATCAATAGCATTGCATAAAGAATCCTGTGTATGTAATTTGTGAGTTTCACGGTGAGCATGTTGGCCATAGTTACACAATGATTAGAAAGGGATTAAAAGTGACAAAAGATGGAGCTTTATGGTTTGGCTGAGCAGGACACTGACACTTCTGTCCACAGTTGGTATTGCTCAGGCATCCAAAAACCTAATTTGATGGTTCACAAAATTCATTTGCATTCTAAGGTGTTCTCAGAAGTGCTGTAAGTGAGACGACCCCATCAAGGAACTGACCCACCAAGCACTTATTGGCAGTCTTAACACTAAAGATGGAGACTTTCCTTCCCCGTAAAGGGACCTTGCCATGTTTTATTGAGAATGTCTCCAGTGCCTCTAGTGTACTCACTTGAAAAAAAGCCATTTTAATGAGTTTAGCCCAGAGTTTAGGTAACAAACCTATATATACACATATCTGTTCACTGGCATATATATTATTGTGAGTTTCACTCAGGGCCTTTCATTTATTAAAGAAGAATAAAATAAAGTCAATTTGAAATTTAAAATGATACAATGGGGGGTGGGGGGGGGTGGGGTATTTCATTTTCTTTGGTTGCTTTCCTCAGGCCGTTCGTAGTTTACGTAACCGATTCAGAATACTCTCAATTTTGCCAAAAGTAATTGATATCTTTTAAAGACAGGCATGCAAGCAAAAGTATATTTAAAAGAAAACTTAACAATGTTATAAATGTAGAAAGAAAAAAAGAAGCAATGTGTCACTGCAATCCATCAGAGCATATATTAACCTGTTAACGTTCTGTTTCTGTGTTCTTGTATTTGAATGAAACACACAAACACACAAGTTGTGATCCTATTTTAAATGTGTGTGTCTGCACACACTATCCTACCTAAACCACTTCCAAACGTATCCTAAAGGTGTTTGCATGATTAAAAAAAAAGAAAAAAAGTGTGTTTTTGAGTGAAAGATATCTATAGAGGGGGGTAGGGAAAATATTTAATTGTGCACAATATGCATGCATGTCTGACCAGCCACCAACTGGTTTTTAGCTAAGCTCTAGTTGGCTTTGGGTTTCTGGGGTCGGGGACTTTCTGCTCAGCTGATAACTGCCATGCATTGTACTGCACACATTTGTAACACCTGAAGGACTACAAGATTTTATTTTGGTAGTAGTAGGTCCACATTGACTTCTTGGAACTGTGAAATAAGTTAAATTCAGATTCTTTTTTTTTAAGGGGTGGCACAACCACATTGGAATTACTGCTTTTTTGACTGAAGGTGTGAAACCTGGATGGTAGATATTTGAAAGCCATATAGTGAAAAGGTGCTAGATCTTAGGTGAGCTGCTGGTTTAACATAGTGGTTTGCAGCAGTTTCCCACCAAGCCGTGTGCTGTGTTAAAGCCCCCAATGGTCATTTACATGCATCCAACTGAGTCAAAAGGGAGGGATTATTTTCCCAGTACAGAAATCCATTTTTCAGTCCAGCTCATCACCAAAACAATAATCTATACTATTCTACTTTTGTAGTCTATTTCCTATACAAGTAGTTCAAAATTAACTACTTGTGAAAGTCTGCCTTAAATTAGATGGATTTTTATTGTCTGGGACATTGTTACATATGTAGTCATACTGCCACCAATATAGTAGTTAATCAGTGTGTTCAGTGGTGTTGATCGCTTTATCTAAAAGCTTTTGAACAGCATTGCCAAAATATAATCAGCATGTAAAACACTGGTTATTTATTTATAATATGCAATTGTTTGGCTTTTTAAAGTATTTAGAAGCATTTCACAATACCCAAAGTCCAGAGACTAAAAAAAATAAAATTGTGTGTATGTTTTTCTTTTTATATATATATTCACATATATGTATATGTATATATATATAAAATGTGAGGGGGGGGGGTGATCTATATCATAAAATACACACACAGAATCTTGTAGTCTTTCGGGATCCAATTAATAAGTAATTTCACAGCTTGTGTGGTGCAAAATTGTATTCCAGCTAAAATTCTTTAGGATTTGTGATTTGTTGATTGCTCCGTAGATGCCACTGATTGTTTACCAATGATTTTTGCTGTGGTGGGATAGTGGATTGTTTACTGTTCTAATACTCCCCCTGGCCCCTAGGGGTCGCTGTCTGAGTTTCAGACTACAAGGCCTCTAACAGGACCAGGGGCACGTGTTCTGTGTTAGAAAGATTTTTTGCTTTGGTACTTGCACATTTACAGTTACCTCATTTTCGCCATGTTTGTATTTGGAAGAAAAAAAGAAAAGCTAATATATATATTATATAGGAAATGGTTCTTAATGCTATAATTTTTTCATTCCATTGGAATCATATTGTTTGTAGCATTTAACACAACTAGCTATAGTGTATTATATATACATCTGTATACTGATTGAAATTTTTAAGATTTGTACTTTTTTTAAATGAAAGTTGCTAGTTCTGCTTTACCGAGTAGTGCAATCATATTTTTTTTAATTGTTGTGGCTGATTTGAGAGGGTTGTTCACTAATAAATGTATGATGTATACCAGTATAACGAAAAAAAATCTTGTGATTCTCATTTGAAGACCTACATTTCACATTAAGTACTTGCCTTTTAATGTTTTTCCTTGTATTGTTTTACGTGTGTTACACTAGTAATGGAGTTACTGCAGCAATTCCGGCACCTACTGATGTTAGTGAAAAGCAGCCCCCACCTCAAGCCGGACCACCCCTGCAGTGGTCTTACATAAAGCTTCAAGATTGTTTTTCCATAAGATCGAACTGAAAACGTGTAGCGAGATTCACTCCTCTCTTGGAAGAAACACTTTGAGAACAAACATTTGAATTCATTTTAATCAAGTTTAAAAATCAGTTTTTATTTTAACAATCTGGCAGATTTGAAAATGTTTTGAGGCCAGAGACGATCGCATCCATGCACCACCATGGCCCCCTGCTGGCCAAACTGTGACTTTCAGGCCGATGATACTACACCCTTAGACTGCAAGTATACAAGGCCCTTCAGCTGTCACTTACGGGACAAACCAACTGAAACAATACGCTATTTCCTACTACCATTGTATTTTGTTGTACTAAATAGACTATTTGATGTATATATCTTGTTGAGCCTCAGCAATTAACTTCATTCCTCGTCAAATAAATACGCTTTTACCAGAGTCAGGTTTTTACTTGAACTTTGTGTAACATTTCACCCTGTGTAAAACACTACAAAGGTCGGTGGGAACAGTTTCAAACATCAAAGCTCCATGTTGAAACCAGTTAATTCTTTGAACAAATTACAACTGGAATACGTATAAGTTATGTTCAGCTGCTTCATTCAGTCAATAACATGCTAATCCTCATAGTAGTTTTAACACTTGCATAACCATTGTGTCCATTACCCCACACTACAAAAATATTAAAACTGAGGGTGTTTCTTTGACTGACCTCTGGAAACAAATGTAAACAGCCAGAGTTATGTTATTTAAAAAAAAAATTAATTTATAGTTGGAAAAAAAATTACACCTTAATATGACCAGCCCAGTCAGATATCAGAAGGGCAAAATAGGCATCTATGAATTACCACAGGCACACTATAGGCAGACTTAACTATGCTATATAGGCTAAAGCAACACATATGAGCTATAGCCTTCTTTAAAAACATCGACTTAAGGACTGCAAGCAGTCCGATCTCTTACTTTACCACAAACCCTCCTTTGGTCTTTTGATAACAAATACATTTATAGTCAATTGTGACTGCGTTAAAAAAGAGGATATGGTAAATTTTAGGCTTGGTGGATTTAAGGGTAGATTTAAATGTTCAATTCTTAAATACCTAGGTTTTATATAATATACACACACACACACACATACATACACACTGGGCAGTTCACGTTGGTTTTCTCAGTGGCGTTATTTATCCTGTTTGGAGTAGAGGGGACAGTGACGTGGGGCTGGGCAGACTATACAGTAAGGTTAATTTCTGTGATCCCTTGTGCGAAGTCTGACAAAACACAGGAAAAGAAAAGATGCGTTCCATGGCAAAGGTCATTAATCGTCCGTAAGGTCTTGCACAAACAAGACCTCAGTGCGGCTGAGGCCTGCCTCCTGTAGAGTTGGTGGGTTGGGACGCTCCCCGCTGGGGAGGCAAGGTAGCACCCGGCGGGGGAAATTTGTCACTATCTGGAACTTTTCTGGAGTTTCTTTTAGGGAGAACAAGAAATCATGTATCACCTGGAAGGAATGGGGGAAAGAGTGGAAGAGATATGTTCAGTATGGCTGCGGTAAGATCTTGAGACCCATGCAAAATGAATGTTGAGAAAAGCGAAGTTTACCGTTAACGACTGCGTGAAAAGAAAGCGCCTCTCTACTCTGGAATCATTGGGAAGTCTGAACACTATTTTGACACTGTCTGGGTCATCCAGAGCTGGTTCCTGGGGAAGACATTCAGACTTGCGCTCCTTTTCCACCTCTAGTGTCTGAAAATATACAGAAGCAACCATTATTTGTCATATGTAGTCATACTTCATACATAATGCATAAATACAGAGGAATTTGACAGAAAACATGCATATAATGCATATTTCAAAACATTTAGAATATTACCATACGACACAAAAATCCAGTCTCATGAATAATCAATTATATCCTCCTGAGACCCCACCCCATTCATTTATGTCCATTGTAGTGGACATTTTGTTTTTTCATATATCTTTTCACTTAGTAAGGAAACTTATTTATTCCTGTTGTACACTAAAGAGGACATGCTGTGAAATTAAACATAAAAATAAATTTAAAAAAAGATGTAATTTCCTCCAAAGACATAGAAAATCACAATTAACCTAAACTGAAGGACACTTTTTTTCCTTGGGTCTCAGGAGGATATAGCATGGGAAGAAGTTCCCCAAGAAATTCCAAACTAAAAAAAATATCATTTATTTACACTGGTGTGTTTCTGATAGCCAGACTTGTCTGCAGCTTAATATTTTGATCCGTGCCGCGAACCAAAGAACATTTCATTTGTACGTTTTTCATCAGGTATGCAAAGAAGCTGTGAAACACCACCTACGGAAATGGGAGCCTCCAGAGAGGCTGGGGCTCCCCGTGCACCAGTTCGAGCAGCTCACCCTTCGTCTCCTCTCCTCTGCCAGGACGTTTTGCCTGGCCATCTCCTCCTCGTTCCTCTTCTGCTCTTGTTCCTCACGCTTCTTCCGTTCTTTCTCCTGGTCGGCACGAAGGGACGCCATGTAAGCTTCATCCTGCTGCTGCCGGAGCACCTGGGTCTGGTTCCTCTCCTCCCTGCCAGGCAAAAAATGCAGAACAGGCTCAGTGCAGAACAGGCTCAGGCAACTGCCATTTACACTTCTGCGTCGTCCACGTTTGTATATGAAATGGTGGACAGATGAATGATTCCTCAATCACTCATCAGGATTATGCTGCAGAGGTGGAAAGTTCAGGTGCAGAAAGTATAAATGCAGACCAAGAGTTTGTTTCAACCAACCAGCTGAGTTTATAAAGTCACATGCCTATTTAATGGTATTAGAAAGGGCCTTTGACTGTCACCAACCTTTCCATTCTTTCAGACATCAGGTAAGTTTGGTTGGCGTCCATGATGAATGTAAGCTGATTGATGAGGTCCTCTGACTGGATGACACCCTCTAACCTCCCCACCACGGTCATTTTTCTGTCCTTCAGCATTATCATAGCAAGGAAGGGATAGGTATTCTCTCGCAGAGCCTGGGACACTGAACAACAAACAATCACTTAAGGAAGAATCCTATTTCTTCAACATTAATAGAACGTCCAGTTTTCAAACAGCTTAGCCTTAAACAGTCCCCTTGTTTTGTTTTAATTTAGTTTCCCATCTAGTAAAACCAAATTCAAATGGGAACTTACCTCTGTATCCTTCTGGCTTATTTGTAGAACAAGCCCACAGAAGCATTCTAGTATTGATGAAGTTCACAACCTCTTCTGCGCACAAAGTATTGCTGTGAGGACGGGAAAAACACCACAAATGACAAAATAGCCTCAAACACAAAAGAATGGGCAACCGCAACACTGCGCTACCACCTCTGACCTACCGGCAGAATTCATCAGTGTCCTGATGATCATCCCCATGAAGGTAGACTAACAAAAACCGTAGCTCACGTTTTGCGTCATTCAGTGCCTGTAGGGAAGGTGGGGTGGAAAAGCATCAGCTTTAAATCCTTCCGGGGGGGAATCCAAACAGCCTAGACCAGTGTCTCCAAACCCATTCCTCGGGGACCCACAGCCGGTCCACATTTTTGCTCCCTCCCAGCAGCCTGCCTGACAGTCCACATTCCTGCTATTTCTACAGCTGGGAGGCAGGAAAAACGTGGACCGGCTGTGGGTCCCCAAGGGACCGGGTTGGGAAACACTGGTCGAGACTGAAGACGATTGTGGCTAGGAGTCAACATCAAATTGATGGCGCCTAATTATAACCAAAATAGCCAGCAGTAGTAGTCCTCTATTTAATCACAAGCAAAGACAGATTTTCTTTCATGCTTCTTGTAGCTATAGCTGAAGCAAGTTATATACAAATATAGGGACAAAGGAACCAACCTGGCTGTAAGTTCCCTGGTAGAAAACTGGATGCGACCGGCTATATCTCTCTTCAAAGCTATGAATGAAGGACATAACATCTCCAACAGGATCTGTGACACGTCCACGAGGGTCTGGCCTTATGAATCTCAGTGCGAACCTTTAAAAAAAAAAAAAAAAAAAAAAAAAAATCACTGGTCAAGTTTGTGGTAAATATTTTCAAAGAGGATAGGAGACACAAATATATACAAATAAAAATTCATCTTTAAAAATTAACCAGATCAGAATTAACCAGGGTTACTTAGGTATAAATTATAATTTGCTTAGACTTTTACTTGTGTGCTCACAAGACGTGTCAAAGAGAAATGTGATACAGCCAGTTGTAACCCAGTTAACTTTACAGTTTGTCAGGAATGTCAACAATCAGCTGGGTTAGTATCTAGATGTGTGAGCTGTTCACTAACTTGGCTTTCAGATACTGAAAAGGCTCACTTGTTAGACCATTGTGTCACCTAACCCGAAGTAAACCCCCACAAACAGGCTGACGGTAGAGTCTCAAACATCTACATCTCATGTCACGTTACTTCCATTTCGACTATTTCCTTGAGCCCCAAGTTTTCTTCAACCCCAATGAACCAAATGAAAAAGTTGCCTCTTTTCTGTTTCTTAGTGAATAATATGGTGGTATTGAAGTGCACATTAAGAAAACCTCAAATACTTAAGAAAACACAAAAGCAATTGTTCTTTCATTGTTTTTTGTGGGTTTTAACTTTGCATTCTTGTTATTTTTCAACACAACACATTAGGACAATACATTGTGTTTATACTTTGGGGGCAGCTGACTTTTTCCAAGACAGAATTGTTCCAGACCATAGTTGGGAATATACGTTCGGTAAGTCCCCCTAGTTTACCACAGTAAGAAAAAGCAAAAACACAAAAAAGTGAAGGAGCAAAAATGTTTTATGTTTTACACTGCATGACCACTGTAGGGTACCCCTGCCTAAAAACTTTTTTTGGTGCAGATATTAGTCACAGCAAATACTGATTATCAGAGAGCAATAACCTAAAACAATATGGGCTTTAAACCAGCAGCTTACTGAAAAATAAAGCAGATGATTAAATCCAAACTAGGGCTATAATGATAGATGTAAATGGAATGATGGACCATCATTAATTATCAGTACATTTATCATAGCATCGTCTTATAATACTTACATAAGAATTACTAAGCAGAACCTTTTTAACACAGTACTCACACAAATTACCTGAATATATCCAGTAGCGTGTAATATGTAATTCTGAATGGGAGCATTATTAAATAGTAACTCCATCCTAGCAAGCCCTGAAAAAGATGAAAAAGGATGTCATTTTCAAAATAAAAATAAAAAAATACAACCAACCCCGAAAATTATGTATATTAAAGATAAGGAAGTGCAAACACACATGGACAACTCTTAATGCATAAATTAGTTCCACCTTTGTTATCCCAAAATGTTAAATGCGCACTTACTGGAAATTACAACTTTTTTCCTTGTTGTTTTAGTTATAAATTTTCACAATTAAAAAAGGGGAATAATAATTTTATGCTGAGCATGAAAACAATCTGAACTGGCCAGACAGGGATTGGTATCAGCTCCAAACAACATAAGCAGTAGTACAACAACAGCATCATTCATATGTAGTCCACATTGTTTATTCATTTTTTCCCCTTTTTAAGAGGCCAGTCTTATTCACTAGAGCTGTAACAATTTTTTCAATTAAAGTAGATGTAGATTACTCAACCATTGAAAAGCATCGATTAAAATCTTCCTTCTTGATTACTCTGCAATATGGCGGAAGGAAAACAGCACATAGTGGATGAAAATCCAAAAGAGTGAAAATCAGCTGTGTGGAAGCACTTCACATTAAAAGTGAATGTCGTTGTAGTCCATTCGTATTGCAAAGCAAAACTTAGTATCACCACAGCATGAATAACGCAAATACATCTTAAGAGTAGACATTTAGGTTTGACACTCACCCAATAATGCGAGGTTAGCCGGTGATATGTCTAAGTGCTGTTTAGCCTCTCGCAGTAGCCTAGCCTGTTTTTGTCATCACCTTGACTTAAATTATTTTGCTTAATGTACCTTCAACTCACGCATGTCAAAATGATGGCTGCTAAAATGAGGGTTAGCCCCACTTTCTAGCCAGAGTATCTTATGGCACTTTTCCACTGCCACCAAGAATCGAGCCGTACCGCGAACTGACCGTGTTTCAAAACCGAGGCGGTTGTATCACCACCATCTGATTGGTCGAAATGGAGGGGGATACCAGTGTTCTGTGTCAAAATGCATGGGTTATCTGAAGGAAGCAAAACTACAATTAACGCTTTGACACAATGTAACGTTGTGAAAATGCACCATATAAATTAAATTCAATTGAATATGGGTACAGTACTGTAATTTGAAAAGTCATGCCGTCCGTTTTATTACCTTCAATTCATGTGAAAATGCACCATATAAATTAAATTCAATTGAATATGGGTACAGTACTGTAATTTCAAAAGTCATGCCGTCCGTTTTATTACCTTCTATTCATGTGAAAATGCACCATATAAATTAAATTCAATTGAATATTGGTACAGTACTGTAATTTGAAAAGTCATGCCGTCCGTTTTATTGCCTTCTATTCATGTAATAAACAAATATCAATTAGATGGCAATCTGCCCGAGACGTAAGGAAAAAATTGGTTATATCAGATCATTGATTTCACCCAGACAGACGTGATCACTATAAGCAGTTTCCACTGTAACTAGGAACTTAAACATTTTCAACCACCAACTTGAAGTACTATAGAACAGCTGAACGGAATGGATTCGTAATGCAAATTTACGCAAGCAGATGCTAATTCCACTAGCGTCTGATGCGAACATAAGACTGCGATTCTCACAGATTTGCTAGTGGGAATTAGCACACAGTACATCATGATACACATAATGTGAATGGTAAACAAGCATCTTTTCATTTTTTGTCACTCTTGCTCACCATACCCGACAACACCTTTACTGAAGCGAGCTGGAGCTGCGCTGTACCTAGACACACTTGCCGGAACGGCTCAGGTATGGCTCGATTTCTGTATGCCAGTGGAAATGCGCCATTACATAATTACACTACATGATACCCATAGCTATTTTTTGTGAACATATTGTATAGGGCTGAACGATTCTGGAAAAAGTTCACAGTGCGATAACTGAGGTTTTCACGATATTTAAGAGTTGAAAATTAACTGTAGCCAAGTAGAACTTTTCTACCAGCACAGTGAGTCCAATAACTTGGTGTTAACTTGAGTTGCACTGGCAGACATAAGGCCATGCTGACAAATTACTTGTTTTTGCTAAATGTCATCTCTATGGAATATTAAATATTTCCATACAACGGAAGACAAATCTTTTCGGGACTAATCTTTGTTAGCTTTTCTCCTCTTCATTCATTTTTGTTTGATTTCTCACAAACGCATCATACGGTCCATAAGTCTAACAGCTAGAATGGAAATGATTATGATTGTCTCAGTGAGTACATGCAGAGCCTGTAATATCACTGTACCGATTATGTGCAATGACAAAGGCATTCTATGATATTCTATTATTTCATTGCATATAGAATAAATAACTACATTTTAACCTAATGCATTGTGTTTAATAAGATTATTTTACCAACATATAGTGGGAACTGCACTGTTCCTCGTTGTATAATTCTGTACGGTGTCCTTGTGTGCTCTGAAAGGCGCCTTTAAAATAAAATGTATTATTAAAAGTATTATATAACCAGACCTGCAAAAAATGGGTATTATAAACTTATTATTAAAGTGGAATACATTTTGGTATATGTTTCTGTCCGAGAGAACAAAGGGAAACATTGTCAGCTATGGGAAACTTCATCACTTACTCTGGGCTGTGGCCTTGACACAATGTAGCTGTACACTCTATGGTCTGCTGTGTTCACCTGTAATGGTCTGGTGGATGGTGGATTGAACACACTAGGAACTCCCTCTTGTTCATTTAGTCGGTCCTGTACAGCTGCCTGTGAAAATAAATAAATACGTTAAATAAAAATCAATGCATCCTATCAATTAATTACAACTGACTTTTTCCGCACCCCACATGACTTTAAATCGGCACACAAAAAAAAGGTTATGGAACAAAAAAAGCTGATGCAGAAACTGGTGCAGCTTTGATTAGGGTTTGGGTTAGCCATCGTTTTAAAGTAATTAATTCCATAACGTCCATAACCATATTAAACAATGATATTTAAAGCTAGTTCGACATGCGTGTGTATTCACTTAATTTTTCTTAATTGGGCCTTATCAGTTATCGTCTCTTCGAGAATTATTATGTCGCAGTGGCTCTTACCTCAATGTTCCAGTTATGCTGTTCTAATGTACGGCGACACTGGTCCATTGATTCTAGGCCTGTTAAATCCTATGAAATATAGACATATCTTTTATACATATGATCAGCAAGACTAAACCACACATTTCACCTTACTTATCTCTAGTAATGACCAGGTAAACCATTTACAATGCAGAGACCCCTAATAGAGAATTTAACACTAAATAGAGGTCAGTGTAAAAAAAAGATTCCTAGATATTAACAAATGTATTTGGTGAATCTTCCCCTATTGTTAGTGCATCCTGTGTCCGTATCCAGGATGCACCAATTATTGTGTCCTGAGCTTGGGACAAGCAGCAAGCATGCCAGGAACCAATGGATGCATAGACATAGTAAATTCCAAATATTTCTCAGATTTGTTTGTCTGTCAGAAAATGAAGGTAGCTGATGATTCATCAGTTTGCTTAGCTCTTCATGCTGTGAACCATATGATGCTGTCCAGGAGCGCTAAGTGCCAAATGCAGTGCCAACATAACCCCCACTGCAGGCGTGACAAAGCTATGACGTTGCTTGTACAGCAGTATACCAATATACTAATGCTGATTTAGGCCCTCCATCAATCTGTGGAACACTGCCACATAATTCATTCTTAGCTGGATTCCCAACTGGTGAATGATTCAGCTCAGATGCAAAGCATGATTCAAAAATGTTTTTAATGAAATAGGTTACTACTAGGGCTTCAACGGTACCATTCAGTTACATCATTTTCGGTTCAGAACACACAATGAAACAGCAATGAAACAAATGAATACATTACTTGACACGGACGGCACCTAAATTCACAAGGAAAGAAAGAGCTCTAAGACCCTCCAACATCACTTAAATGAAGTTTGGGAACATTTTGCTTTCCCAAAAAATTACACCAACACAGTAGAAAGTACTTGACAAGACCAAGATTGACTGTTGACTGTTATATTGAACTCAGATGTGTTTCTGGAAACTCATCCAACAAGATAACTCATGAGACGTCATCCGGAGCAAGACAGAAACAGCAGAAACAGTTAGTCTGCCCATGGTACTTAAGATGCTTTTGCCAGGATTTTCACACCAGGGTAAAAAATAACTAAGGCTTAGGGGTGTTTATCACAAGTAGTTACTAATAATTCAAACTGAATTACTCATACCTGTGTGCAATGTTACATAGTACATACCGAATCAAACTTTAAAACTTCAATAAGCTACTTGGCAAAACAGATGGTTTAGTTGTCAAAGGTCACTTCAAACAAAAACCAAGCAAACTGCTCTAAATTACACAGGAAGGTCAAGTAACTAAAAAGGGGGCATACATGTACTCCATGTGGTTGTGTGACTTAGGATGTTCTGTTCATCATGTAACGACACATACTGGCCACTACAGGACTTTCAGGGCTACAGGCCTCAGAGATGGGGACTGCTCAACACACAGATGATTCTAAGATTGTGGATATTAGAGAAGAAAGAATAGAACAGGAGTATATACACAAGTTTTGCTGGTTGATGTCAGTCTAGGAAAGGTGCTGTGCTACAAGTACCTTGGAAACTATAACAAAGATTGGCTGGATTGTCATAACACCAAGGGAGTCAGTAAAATGCAGATTAACCTGATTTTTGTGTTTAAGGAGAATAAAGTGTTTTGGTGCGACCAGATATTTCTACACATATTTTACCCATCATAGCTAGTGTCAAGTTACTTACAGTTTTTGGGGGAGGGTAATACCACAATGAAGGAGATTGGTAGATTGAAAACTTATTGGGAAAGCTAGCTCTGTCAGGTGTGCATGTTAGTGTACCCTTTCTTGTTACTTAATTGTGCTGGGATGCATTTATTTTTTATAATGCTGCTAGACCACAACCCTCCAGGTATAAATAACATCGTTCTATTACTATTTTAGATAAAAGATGGTTAAACACCACTCTTCATAACACATTAAGTTATGCTGACCCCCTGCAACAACACCTCAGCTGGCAGGCATAAGCTGAAGAGTTTCTCATTACAGTTTGCAAAGGCTTGCCTACCAGCAGCACACACAGTCTGTCCGGTTTCCTTAACTTTATCAAACTAACGTAATTACCTATAGGTCAAATAAAATACTGCACCGATTGGTAAATATGTTTTCACTTTTACCTGCTGCTGTTTCCATAAACTGATTCCTTCCCTTTTTTGCAATTTCCCCAAAAACATAGCTAGCCACAAGTTAGAATTTACAATTTATCAATAATGTGTGAATTATTTTATACTCAGTTTAATTATCAAAAGAAAAAACGCAAAATGCATAAAAATATAGTCAGCTAATACAGAACTAAATATGTTTTGCTTGATTCCATATGAACTCTTATAAGAGGTAGTAAAATTGAACATGCTAGCAGAGCTGCTGGCGGATTGATATACACGTTGAATTACTGAGTCACACGGAACGCAGAGTTACCCGAGAAAGACACTACATTTCTCAAAAGGCTCCACATACAACGTCACTTGTACTATCTGACTAGTGAAATAAAGTTACGACTTTTGAACAGGATATACTAATTAGATTGTTTGGGGAAAAGGGGTCAGAAAGTATGGTTAACTAAGAAGTTTCACCCCAGCCTCCTGTTCGAAAAATCTAGCATACGTTCTTTAGCTAGCCGCTAACTTGAAATGGCAGCATCACAGTTGAATTAAGGCGCATTTAGTCCTTGACAGAACATCTGCATTTTGGCACATATTACTATCGCTGGTAACACTACCGAGCGCCATATCGGCTATAGTTATTGGTTACCTGAAACTGCAAGAGTTTCTCAGTTTGCGTTTGAGATAATTCCTGTTCCTCTGACGCCGCCATCTTGCTTCGACAAATCTTCTGACGGAACGCACCGGAACTGATGCGCGCTTCGCCGCACGGCACTATGGGAAAAGACGCCTATATCATAAAAGGTCCGATTTACATGCAGAAATAGAAAAGCCGTAAATCGAATGCAAGCAACGTGGGTATCTGAAGAATAGTTTGCAAGCACTTATATTACAATGTGTGGCAACACTAAAGATTTTAAAATGTATTCGTTTAGGTGAAACTTTAACAACGTTATGCATAACAATAGGCAAATGTATTTTTTTTCCAATTTTCCTACAAAACCAACAGCATTGTAAGATATTAAATCGATTGATCTGATAAAAGCATGGCGATTCATTTTCAGAAAGGACAAATATTTCCCATACGATTCATCACATCAGTCAGTTTACTTTCTAAATACAATCCAATCTCGTAATTCTGGATTATCCGGATTAATATGTACAAAAGATATATAGGACATATAATGAGTTGTTTGTTGTCTTCAGACTGGCTATGTCTGCTGATAAACATTACTGACTTTCATGTCCTGTTTATGTCCTTTCCCTACCTATCAAACATTATCTAGAGTTCACCAAAACCAAGTTAAACCTAATAGAGAAGGAAAATCAGTACTACAGTCAAATTTATGGCAGAATAGTACATATGTCTGCCAACTGATTTTTAAAGAGGATAGTATTATTACTGATATTGTTAGTCTCAACAGCTGTGATTGTAAGATTTATTATTTCTGTTTTAACTTATTCTACTATATATAAGCATTTATACTATATATAATCATATATAATATTCAATTATAAGAGGTACAACACACACATTACATTTGTTGTATATATACACACAACAGACACGCTGAAGCAGTCTGCCCCACTTAAGGGAGCAGTAAGCTTGCTGCGCCGTTGGTCGCCGATGACAACACCCGCCAACGTGACCAAACGTGGGTTTTACGCGAGCGCCACGAGAGCATTGTGGGAGAAACGCCTTTTCTCCACAAGCAGAGTCATACTTATCAAGTCAATGATATGAAAGACACGCTGTATTTGAAAACTTTAGAAAAGCCCGACAGCTGAAAGTTTACTTACAGAGTGAGACTTTTACTGCGCACGGTTCACGGTGACGGATATAACTTGGAACCTTGCTGTTAGCCGGAACGCAGAGCCGCAGTCAGATAGGAAACCAGTTTATCTGGCGACGCCCTCCGAATCAGTCGCTAAGCTTACCGGTTTCTAGAAGGCGAGAACACGCTTTCATTAACTGCCATTTCCAGTCTCGCCACAAAAATATAAACACGTAGCCAGAGAAGATGGCGGACGATTTCGGCTTTTTCTCTTCCTCCGGCAACGGAGCCCCGGCAGCAGAAGACGACCCCGCCGCCGCGTTTTTGGCCCAACAGGAAAGCGAGATTGCGGGCATCGAAAATGACGAAGCGTTCGGGACGCTGGAAGAGGCCGAGCAGCCTCACTACCCTCCATCTCAGACAAATTACAGTAGGTCAATCCGCCGCCGACTGGCGCCCGTCAGGCCGCTTTGTCAGCCGGCGCGCTAACCGAGCAGCTGCTCATGGGCTAGTCGGGGAATTACTTCGTGAGGAAAGGCTAGGCAGCCGAGCATCAGGGGTTTTTCCGCTTTTCACTTAGAACTAACTCGCATTTTACCAAATAACCACCACAAAGAAAGGGAAGTAAGAAGCAATCGTAGATTTCGACGTGTTTTGGCGCCGTGTGGGAGAAGCGAGCAGTTACAATGAAAGTGGCAGCCTGCTCGTACTGACAAACGCTTCTAAACAGTCACCAACTCATACATTGAATGTCTTAAACTGCGATGCTGCGATATTTTAATCATCATTTTTACTTTAGTTTAGGTGTCTCGCAGCCTGTACGATAAAAACAAAGATTTTTTACAGACCAGTTAAACTTCAGGCAAACTGTGAAACATAGACACTGAAATATTAAAATCGGTACGATTGGGTTAGAAAGAACAGGTATTGCTACATTCTTAAATTGAGTGGATGACGTTAAGGCGAGTTAAGCAATCCTCATCTCATTTGTTAGTTTTGAAATACACGGCAATGTATTATTGGCATTTGTGTGTAAGTATATATTTAGGTGATTGCCATTGATATACACTGAAAACAAGTTAAAGATATATATTTTTCTTTTTCTTGTTGAATGATAGATGTTTTTGGGGAAGAAGCAGCCACCGTGAATGGTGACATGTTTTCGGTAAGTTACTGTAAGGTTGCCTTTGAGTAGGTTTTATAATAAACAGTATTTGCACTGTATGTTGAGTCTTTGTTTGCTGTCAAGTCCGGGAATGAGAAATGCTTTCTAAAGCTCCTCACATCATCTGACTATCTTTTTAACCTGTGTATATATATATTGGTTTGCAGTAGAAAGGGGATTTTTCCGTTGGTCAGGGATAATGTTAGGTCAGTGTTCAGTTTTTGGGAGCACAAACTGAAGCCCTATTCTATGTGACCAGTTTGGCACAATCTTTGTCCCTGACACAGGACTTAAATATACTGAAGCCAGCTCTCTAAATGAGAAAGCAGCTGCAAGGCCTGTTTGTGTCCCTTAGGATCACCTCATAATGTCAAAATGTTCTGTCCTCCTGGCCCCAGCTGAGTTAAAATGAGTCATATTTGGACAGCTATTGTTTAGCAATGGGATTATTCTGTAATCCTTATTGATTAAATAGTATCCGGAATCCACTGAAAATATTAATCAGTACTCTGTCCTGCCTGATTATCTCTAAATACATTTGAGCAATTTTGATTTTCTCAGTAGTCACTGTGGTCATTTGGCTATTAAATGTAGGCATTTTGTAAATTGGAACAGTTGTTTTGCTTACCAGTGGTATGAAATTGCACTTCCTCCAGGAGTCTAATGGTCCCACCGACAGTTATGCCGCTATCGCTCGAGTTGACCTGCAGAGGCAAGAACCAGAAAGTCTGCGCAGGTGGAGAGAGGAGCAGAGAGCCAGGCTTGAAGAGCTTGGTGCGTATCTATGCCTCGCTGGCCCTCATCCAAAGTGACTTTGTTTTATCCGTGTTTACAGCTGGTGATTTTGAAGAAATTTAACTGAAGCTAGTAACCTTACAGCTGCTAGTCACTGTCCTTAATGAAGAAAACCTGCTTCTTACCCATCAGGATTTTATCAACACAGATCAAATACTTGCACTGAAAAGCTTTGGGGTGGACTGTATACTATGCTGAGTGTCTGAAAGGGTGGCAGTGTGTGTCTTTGATTTGGGTTTGTCTTTTGCATAGCTGAGAGCTTTTTTCTTTGTACAAATTTGGAACAGCCATTAGTAAAACTGAAGCCCACAATCATAATATTCTATCCAATCATATAATCGTTTAAATATCTTTGGCTAGTTTCCCCCCACAAACTAACGCATGGTAGGATTTTTCGATGAAATTTATGTCAAAAAAGCGGTAACAGCCATCGCTGCATGTAACAGAAAAAGCTGGAAGATTATTTTTTTTATTAGTAATCAGGTACATACCATTTGTGGATTCAAAATTAGACTTTCTTAGCTGACAGTGAATGTGCAACATAACCAAAGGACTTTCCAGTTTTATCATATAAATGTTTTCATTGCACTTGAGAGAACACGCTTTCATCCAGAAGCATATCATTTTTTTTTTCGTTTTGATTAGTTATATTTTAGTCAAGGTGCATCTTAAAACCAGGGTTATCATACCGGCTGGCAATAAGTTTTGATTCAAGCAGTGGCAGCAGGTGACCTTCTGTCTGTGTCCCATGGGGTCACACAGACTCCGCCTCCAAGGCTGCAGAGGCTGAGTGGAAGGAAAGGGCCAAGAAGGAGCTGGAGGACTGGCATGTGCATCAGTCTGAGCAGATGGAGAAGAACAAAGTCAACAACAGGTACAGTGTGATCCCAAGGACGTTTAATGGTCTCGTCTCCAGATATGGATACAAAATGATTTCAGGAAGCTGTTGCTGCTTATTGTGCTGTTCAGCTTTCTTAGGGAAAAAACACATTCCAGTATTTCTATCCCAAAGAAATGACAGCTGCTTAAATATGTTATACATTTAGCCTGTAACACATGTAGTATGTACCTCTTGACATCTGTGTGAAAAACATTCCATGCAGTGGAGAAATACAGAAAATATATACAGAAAGTCAGTGTTTTAAGTGTTTAAGTATGAGGAAATATATCCGTTTTTTGTTGCTGTACATTGTCTTCAATAAAATAGGACACGCCTGTTTAGTTTGTAATTTGTGGGAGGGGGGGGTTTATCATGTCTAACTGAGTTAATTATATAGTTCTTAAGACTACCTGTGGTGCTATGTAATTACTTCAGAGAAGTAGCTTTGTTATGGCAATTTTAGTTTGTGTGAGATCCAAATATCAATTATGGAGCCCAGGAAGTGACATGGAAAAAGACGGACTGTTGTGAGCCTCGCAGCACTTCGTGTTACTATTACTAACTGTACTGTGTCCATTTAAAGTACAAAACATCGAATGAATGGACTAAGTATAAAACTAAATGCTACAGACATGTCTAATAAAGTGTGCTTTAAGCATTAAGCACAGAAAGAAATCTGGAAAACAAGGGGTGTTGCTTTCTTCTGTTGTCATAGTTAAGGTTTAAACCCGGATCCCACTTTCCCAGATATTCTCGCTTGATGATGGATTTGCAGGTCTGTACTGAAATATTCCAGAAAGCAGGTTCGAGTTTAAACCTTAGCTCCAACACGGTGGTAGGGTTAGCTTTATATGCAGTCCTCCCACTGTGGTATCTTTCGACAAAAGCAAGCAACAACCCTTGGTTTTCTACATTTCTGTACAGGCAAATTTGAATGAATGTTTCAATGTTTGTGAGTGCACTTCACCTTCAACAGCCCAGATGTCTTGCTTACAGTCAGTGAATGGGCACAGTGCAAATATTAATAAATGTGTATAAAATCACATACGATGAAAGTTATTTGGTGTCCATTGTCCTCCATAGTTCAATACTTGAAGCACACTTTACTGAACATGGCTGTATTAATTAGGTTTATACTTATTAGTTAATTCTATATTTTGTACTTTAAGCACAGAATGCAGTTAATTATTAATGGAAAGTATTGCGGGATCTCGCAAAAGTCTTTTCTTTTTTTATGAAGTTCAGGAAGCTCATTTTTATTCAATTCATTTAGCAGTTCGAGTATAAAATTGTCCATGGGTTGAAATAAACTAGTGGTAAATTACATGTACATAATTATTATAGCTTAGTATACAAGAGTATCCAGTATCAGTCAGTTTTGAGTGTATCTCTGATATATGGAAGGCATTCTATTCTATACATTCTGCACACATTTTCCACTATACTAACCATTGATTGTTCCTTACAAAACAGTGATGCATTCGTGTTAAGTGTCACTGCAGATATCTGAGCTATATAAATGTGCTCTTTGTCACGTTGAGCATTAACACCTATGAAAATGGACATTTGTGTGCAGCCTGTTTTGACTTTCCCAGTTTTGAAGACAAGGGGGGATGTAGCTGAACTGTACTAATACAAGCCTTCTTTTATATCTTTCAGCAGACTCTCTCCAAGTTTTGCACGGTATCTTTTTGTAACTATAAACTTTGCTGCTTTTTCCCTTTGTCGTAACGCTCCTTTCCATGTCTTCTGCCTTGATATCTTGCAAGTGTTCTGTCTGCTTGTTGTTTGAAACTGACCCATTTTCTCTGTCTTCTCCTCCTTTCTTCCTCTCTCCCTTTTTGTTTCTGGACAAATTTGCATGCACACTAGGATTGTGGATAAAGCTTTCTACGAACAGCCCAACGCAGATACAATAGGTTTTGTGTACGTCTGTTCCTCTTCAACCTGTTTCACAACTTCACTTCACCTTCAGTAACAAAAATTCCCCTTGAATATGTACGCTGGACCCATTCTAGAAATTAGTTGGTTAGACTACTAAAGCATTCCTTATTCTTAAAGTTAAATTTCAGTTAATAATAATGTTACCATTTTGTTTAGCTGTTTTATATTAATGGTAGTATTATTATTATTCAATCTGAGCAAACTTTGATAAATTTATATTGACATTTTAAATGATTGTTGTGGCTTTGGGCCCTTTTTTATTGACCACTGTAGGTAATTTAAACTCTGCCACCACTGCAACACATCACAGCAAACTGGTTATTTTTCAGATTATGTCAGCATAAATTAAAGGACTCATTTCAGTGTACATTGTCTGGTTCAGGGTCATTTCCTGTTGCTGCTTTTCTACACCCTTGTCGCTGTCCTGTACTGATGGCCTGTATATAGAATAATCTTTTTAAATGAGAGAGTATATGACCTTGGCAAGTATTGCCATCTCATGAAAAATAACACAGCATTACAAAAATAGTGCTGTGCCCCATTTTGGTGACGTGGCTTTTCATTAAGAATGTAGTTGTGCCGTATGCACTGTGGGCAGTTTGCTCTGCCCTCCGTGGTGTGACAACGCCTTATATATCTGTGGTATGCCTGAGGTCTGTGAGCTTTCTGTTAATCCTGGATATATTTTGAAGCCATTTCAGATCAAATGTGACTGTAACAGTGCCTCCAGTTCCCCTCTCATTTCACCTTGCAAGAAAATTAGGTGCATGGCAGTGACTGGTTTGCATTGGTGGTTTGCTGGCAATGACTGGTTTGCATTGGTGGTTTGCTGGCAGTGACTGGTTTGCATTGGTGGTTTGCTNTGACTGGTTTGCATTGGTGGTTTGCTGGCAGTGACTGGTTTGCATTGGTGGTTTGCTTATCCTGCATCTTTTGCTCTCTCAACTGCTTCCCACTTTTCCCCAACTCTACCGCATCAAGTAATTTTTGTTAGATTTGTTACACATATATAAAAAAATTATTTTATGGATCACTTACACGCTGTAGATCTCTTGATATGTGAATGTCATATTCTACATTTGTGAGATCACTTACCATCCCTAAAATGCCTCATCGCTATCATGAATCATTCAATCACGTAGGTGGAAGATTGGCTAGTAGTTGACCACCAAATTGTCTGTTACTGTACTCCAGTCAGGTATAACTACAAGAAAGTGCTTAATTTGGTAGCTCTGTAAAGCTATGTTATGCCTGATAAGTGTTAAGAAATCAAAAGTGGAAGATTATCTACATTGGTTATTGGAAAAAAAAGTGTATTGTATGCTGTATATGCAGTTCTGGCATTTACTTTTGTCATGCTTTACCCAAACTTAATGCAGTGTGAATAAGCCTGCAGGAGCCTATTTAACTTCAGCTTTGGAAACAGCAGTCATTGATACACTGCTGATAGTTTATCACACTTCCTATACTTACTTTTTATTTGAACAATAAAACAGTGTAAGCAGGAAGCAAGCGGTATAACTGAATATTGTATATATCTAGGGTACACTTTAGTGTGGAATGGCTTTTCCCTTGTTTTTTCTTAAGAAAACTCAGCCTTTTGAGTAAACTATCCGAGAGCCTTTTGCATTGTGCTGCATCAGTCCTGTTCCATTCATGTTTGACTGCACAGCTGGTCGTTGCTCCTGAATTTTCTGCCAACAAGTTTGGCCTTAATATGCGGCCATATATTCTCTATGGGGTTAAGATCTGGTCTGGTGATGGACCAGGCCAAATCATCACTGTCAGTGAATTCCGCTCCGACCATGACTTTGTTGTTTGTGCTGTGAGTGCTGGTGCATTATCTGGTTGGAAAATAGCCTATTGTCTGTCATTCCCACTACATAACTTGTTCAAGCTTATTGTTTCACAATGGTGGAGAGGAATTCTTGGTGGAATTTCTCTCTTGACCTTAGGACTGGACGATATGGCAAAAATTTATATCACGATATATTTCTTACTTTTGGTCGATACGATATAATTCCGATATCGATATGGACAATATTAAAAAGACTCAGGAAAAAACTGCCGAGGACACACACAATGGATGTCTGCAAACTGAATTTGCAAAGTCTATAATACCTCCAGGCTCCTCCTATTAAAATTATATAATTTTTTTTTTAATAAAAACAGTACAAAAAAAAATAAGGTTCACTTTATTTGTATTTAGCCTTTACAAACAAGAAATGTGAAATAAACTATCAAATAAATAAAACTCTCAGACTCAGCTTATTAACAATAATATATTTCCATTTAAACTAAAACAGGCTGATTATTCATATACTGTATATTATATGATACAGTATATATGTATATCGAAATATCGGAAATGTGTTTAAAAATCGTATCACCGTTATTGAAAAAAATTATATCGCGATATATATTGATATCGAATTATTGTCCAGCCCTACTTGACCTATGAAGGAGGTGTTCAGAAGCATCGCTATAAAGCTCAAAACATGACTTGTCACTGCAGAGAACACACCACTGAGAATCATTGTGACTATATAGTGCTGAAAATTTGAGTCTGGAACATTCTATGTGGTTTACTTGCACACCTTTTTGATGACAATCAGCTTCCTTGAGCCGTCTTGTAGTTGTTCATTTTGTTCATTTCTGAATTGCTGTGCTAATTTTATGAGACTTCTTATGATTTTTTCAGATCATTTATTTTCAGCCTTCTGTCATCTTGACATTCAGAACTTGCCTTCTGTGCCACAGACCCTGTCACAATTGTGTGACCAATTCTCTGAATTGTAGGCAGTGGAATCTGGATATCCTTAGACTTCAATCAGACATGAATGGAACAGCAATGAGGCAGCACACTGTGATAGGCTGTAAGACAGCCTGCCCAATGGAAAAGCCACCCCTTTCTAAATTATACACTGGCTACAGACAATGCATGCAATATTGTGAAACACTGTTACTTATTTCACCTATATTTGTTAAATGGGAAAAGTAATCATAAAACGATAAATTGTTTGCCTCATTTTTCTGCCCAGCAGTGTATGTTGTTTATTAGACTGCATTGCATTCTGCTTAATTAGGAATTTTAGTTGATTTTGTTGATATAGCACTGACTTTATCCATTTTTAAAACCAAGCATCTTGAATCAAGCCTACTGGGACAGCTGCAGAACAGTGATACAGTACCCTTGCCAAGTACCTGGTTTTGGGTTGGCCCTGTGCACTGCTATTTATTGACTTTGCCCCTGGTAGAGTACTGCAGTATTAACATAAGTATTATTCTGCGATTTCAATGTTACTTCACAGGAAATCCTGTCAAAATAGTGCCTGCAAAGCCAATAATTCACCTATTTTGAATGACAAATGCAGTTAACGTGCGTGTTAAGAACATGAACCTGTTAAGCAATCTTTGAGGGATGGAATGGCACATAGACACTGTTAAAGGGTGTCAAATATCAGTCTCAAATATCCACATAAGTACTATATCTTGATTTACACTACATTCTTCTAGGTTTGTGAACACAGATTAATACTGACAGCACTGTAATCAAGCAAGGTAGATTTGTAATTAGCGGTTAATGTAAGGCTGTTTCTCTTAAGTGCCATTTTTAAAGTGTTGCTTTTGGTTCCTCAAGGGCTTCAGAGGAGGCCTTCCTGAAGGAGAGCGATGAGGACACCCCAGGCTCTGAGTGGGAAAGAGTGGCACGGCTCTGCGACTTCAATCCCAAAACCAACAAGCAGTCCAAAGACGTGTCTCGTATGCGATCTGTGCTCATATCCTTAAAACAGACACCCCTGCTTCGCTAGGCCACGTTTTCTGTCCTGCTCTTTTAAGATTGTGTAGTGCTCTGTCTACTCCACAATGAAGGAAAGTAAAATATTTTGCTAATTAGTCTATTTTCTGGCACCTTTTCAATTTTGTTACATTGACATAAGGATGCGAGATTCATCCACATCCCCTTTTCCACATTATAGCTTGGGTTACACCGTTCTGTCCCTTCCCTTGACAGATTTTATGTTGCTATCACATTTCTGTTGGCTGGACTTGTAGTGTATTTTGAGCAAAAGTATGCCAAGGTGAGTGCCACCAATGTTCTCTTTTGGACCTTATGAAAATACTTTGACATTTTAAAGTGTCCTACTACAAAAATGTAAATCAGAAGTTCCCTTTTGACCTGAAAAATCAGGGGTGGTGTGATGATCAAAATGTATTTTGAATGGGAATCCCCTCTCTGTCCTTCAGGACTATGACAATGTTTGAAAAGTGATTTTACATCTCTTAAATCAGTCTTAGCACTGTTGTGTAAGAATTTTTAATCCACTTTGGCTGGTGCCACCCATTTTTGTAAATATTCACGTTTTATTCTCCCTCAGCCCAATGTACCAGTACGATATGTGCTTTATAACTCACAAACTGAACGAGTTAATTCCTAGCTGCTTATGGTCTCATGTTGGCCAGCTCAAGACCTAAGACAGAAGTGACTTTTTAAAATTTTCAAAGGGGTGTCTCTTGTATACCCACAAATCACCTGCCTTTCCTAGATTGCCTTCAAATGTATTTGTGAATTAAATGTATTCTTTTTTTTCCAAAATGAAATCAGTGCATTTTCTTGCTGCTTGAATGCCATAGCCTACCTGCCACTTAACCCAGTTTCTCACAGATGATTAAAAATCGCTGCTGGCATCATGTAATTAGAATATGACTGAGTGCTTTTTGAAAGCCCTGGGTGTAAAATGAAGCACATTAAACATAAGTCACTGCAGTATATAATCTAAACCATATGGGTTGAACTTAAAATTCCAAAAATGACCGTAACATTTTATTTATTTTTTTTATGTGTTAGCAATACGTTTCCCATTCAGAATATAGATGCCCTTAAATGTGGATTAAAAATATTGGTTTGACATGAAGGGCAACCCCAGACAAAAAAAAAAAAAAGTCTATAATGGTTAACCAAAGTAATCATTTGGTTTAAAAAATGTAGAGTTGGGGGTGTACATTATCCATAAGAGGCCAAAAAAAATCCTAAGAGTTATTGTTAGTTTATCATGTCATGAGTGAGTGAAGTGCTGTATGCTGGCCAGGGTGGGTCAGAACCTTTTCTCTTGTGGCCTTCAACATTTCCAAAAAGAAAAACACCTCACTCCTCTATAGCCGTACTGTTAGTGCCTAGTCACTATTTACACTATTGGCCAAAATTGTGGCAACAGCTAGCAATGTTTATAATGTAGGTAGTGTTTATAAACAATCAAAGAATGTTTACAAATATATGTTGGACGATTAAATAGGTAACTGGAGCAAGAGTTGAATAAAGTTCTGCAATCTCTAAAAATGGGAAGTGTTTCCAAAATTTTGGCCATTAGAGTACATTAGACAATGTTCCTCCTTAAGGAGTCCTACAGTCCAGCACCCTGGAACCAAGGATTCAGAAACATGCTGAACACTTGGGGACTGTCTCTCTGATTCATGACATGATAACCACATCCATATATATATTCTTCAAAAGGATTTGTTATAACAGGACCATTGTACAGTCTCACCACTTTTAATTTTCACCATGATGTGCACCATGAAAGTGACGGTCACTACATCAGCTCTGTATTCCTTGCATACCTGTGTATCTGCATGTGTATATGTGGTGTAGTAGAAATAATGCAACAGTTTTATATAAGCAGACATTTCATGGAAAACTGTTACTCCACCGAGGAAAAATAAAGTTATTCTATATTAATCTGTTTTGTTTTTAATATGTAAATTAAGTTTCATAATACCAGCTACACTGTTTGCCTGTATATCTGTTCTTTTTTGATGCTAATAGTAGTAGATAAATGTAACAATATAAAGCAATTATGTATCAGTGTGTCACATTCCATGACCAACTGCACATGTTGATCTAGCATAGAAAATCAGCTACCAATTAGGTCATTTAAGATAAATTAAGTATATCATGTACAATAAATTAAACACAAAGGAAACCCAACTCTCTCAGTACTCTGGTTTTACACTTGAAGGAATGCATCCTTGCAGAGACTTAAGGCAAATAATGATGATTAAGGCAAAAGCATGACTGGGTTCAAACTTGAGCAACATTGCCAAAAACACCTTCCAAGTTTGTATTTTTTAAATCTTTTTTGGAGATAACTCTACAGTATACACTGCTATTATTCATTATGCTATTATTTATTATGATCAGTTTTCACCTTTGTTATCTTCATCCAGGTACTTTAAAGGAGGGAAAAAAGACCAAATTCACAGTCTTCATTTATTTACATCTAATGACCACAGAGTTCTCTTACAGCACTACTGACTGAAAAAACATTGCAATCACTTTCATAAAGCAGTACAGAACTGTTTTCAATTTGAGAGCTTTACAAGAAGATCTTCAGCCAGATGTTGGCAATGGTAGTTGTCCTCTCGCTGCTGAGGTCACTACTTGTGTTTCAGGGCTGTAGCTGCAACTCCTACAATAATAGCAACTACAGTAAATCCTTGTGCGAAGATTCGAGCCCGCATCAGCAACTGTGACTGCCGAGTTTTTCCTTGTTTGAAAGCAATGAGGCCGTATGTTAATGCTCCTGTGGTCCCCAGGCAACCTGTAAGAATGTTAACGAAACTGTAAAACAGCGGATCTTCACACAGGCAACATACGTAACGTTATTATTGGCTCATGATCATTTCAAGGAAATTCTGATTACTGGAGAAGTACATTCCTAACATAAGTTTAACTACGCTCTACCACTACAGACCTCCAAGGTGGTGGAGACATTATTTGCGTGACTGAAAGATTTCAGGTGTGTGGGTTTTCGTAACAATATATTTAACCATCTATCCATCCAGACATCCTGAGCAGGATCTCAGGGGAGCCTGAAGACTATGTTGATATAGTTATTTCACAAAAACAGGCCAACATTAGGCTCTTTCTGACCGCAGGAACCTTTTACAGAAACTTGGCCGGATTTTAGTTCCTGAACTTTCTCAAAGTAATTACTCTACCTGCTTGTGTACAGTACATTCAAGAACAGAAGACCTCGTACACTTATAAATGAACACTAACTAATACAGTTTGGTCATAGGACATCATGAGGTGATTTTTAAATAACTTATTCAGGCACCAAAGTAGGCTCGACTGAGTTGCCAGTTGAATAATAAGGCCGAATGCATTACAGCGTCTTTTCCCACACCACAAAGGATGCACCCAATGGATACTTTGTGGCCCAACCTATCCCAAGATTCACTGCGTGGAGATAAAGTGGGCGTGACCCGAATAGGTGATAGGAGTGACGCTTCATGACGGAAGAGTACGGCCGGGAACAGCTGATGACGCAAATACTGTAATTTGCAAACTTAGTTCGTACAACAGGTGGCAACACAAGCAATCTCTTTAACCAACTGAAAAGGTAGCACACCTAAAATGCAGAATGTCTGGCTAGTGTATCTGTGCGAGCACATTATACTCAGTTGCAGTATCTTTCTCGCGTTCTGAAGTAACTAAAGCAAAAATTCCAAAATCCTTCATTTATTATTTAATTCTTGTGTTTCTCAATTATTTGTTTGTATTTGTTGTAAACTGAGTTCAGAAGTACACAGCAATTGACCAAAGTTTTAAATAATTTCTATACTTTTTTTTTTGAAAAGTTAATATTAAAAAAAGTTTTACTCTAATTAGTCATTTTCATATGTATGGTATTTTACATTCCTTAACTGAATGTATTATAACAATGATACAGGCAGCATTTCTTGCAAGGATAGACTTGCTTGTTAAGTAGTTAATGGTTAATTAACATTACTACATACATTCCAAGAAGAAAATTGTGATTTATATTGTTTATTATAACCAAAAAATATCAACGTTTTGACCAACTGATCGTGTTACTTGAAATGTGATCCTATGGTTTGTATTAATATTCAACTGAAGCTACACATGCTTTTGTTATATCTCCAGTGCTGCTTGAACTGCATCACTTTTGTAAAGTTTTGTTAAATTGCATTTACATTGCTACCAGCCCTTTATTCCTGAACTGGACTTTATTTTTATTGTTTTGCAAAGACTTTTGCGTACTTTTTACAGTTAGATCATAAAATTTCGACATCGTGACTGCAAGTGTTTAATCTGTCTTGTTTTTTTAATGGTATAATCAATTTATTTATTAGGTTATTCAACAAATTAGTCGCTAGATTAGTCCACTAATGAAAAAAAAATCGCCAGATTAATCTTTATTAAATTTCGTTAGGTGCAGCCCTAGCAATAGTTAGTTCATATATGGTATACATCAATACTGTCGATCTCAGACTAGCATAAACTCTGTGTAAAGTAGGGGTGCTCTGTAAACTTAAGGTGATACTTAAAAGAACCTTTACATATGTCACTTTCGGAACTGTCTGTCACTTCTCCCCCTGCCGGAAGTGGAGGAATTCAGACACACACTTTCATGTTTTGCCCTTCTACGTTTACAAATGCTACGTGAAGCGGGTAATCAATCACAAAAAAACAACTACTTTTATGCATACACACATAAATTACTCGTATCTGGCCATATATTTGTTTTGAGCGAAGGTATAGTCAACGGATGACATTTATTTGACTTACCTAATGGTACAAAGGGATTCTCCTTCGTCTTTCTAATGAATTTCTCTTTGAATCCTTCATCTTTCATCCGCGAAGCAGGGGAAAATCCTTCTATAACAGGAGGATTAGACAAATCAAAAAGTACAGCTGAAGATGTTTGCTTTGGCCCTTGATCTTGTCCTACGGGGGTTGTTGTGGTGGCCATTTTGTCGGTGCTGTAGGCGGAAGTGATCTTCGAGCCACGTGATTTGCGCAAGCACGTTTATTGGACACGTTTAGAAAACCGATGCATTAATTGATTTAGTATTTCGAAAATGAAATGGCAATGCAAATATTGTAGATAACTGAATTGCAGATTAAAGGCGCGGCACAGATGGAAAACAATTAAACAATGGGGAAAGCATGTATAATCATCGCGTGCTTGATAAATGTCCGGAGTTTTAAAGTTATTTTTGTTAACTAGTAGAACCATGATTGTTGTAAATAATTCTGCCTCATTGATGAAACAGTTCTAAATTTATTATTATTATTATTATTGTTGTTGATTATGATAATTATGATGATCACGGTTAAATTATAACGGCCCACATACCCATCAGACCACCGGGAACATGCCTGTCCAGTCCAGCCTTACCCTACTATGTCTTTAACTGAAAACCAGTATTATATAAATTGCTAATTTAACCCATAACGTTTGATTCTGCGAAATTTACATAATAGTGTTTGTCAACTTGAAATAGTGTTTGAACAATTTGAAGTGAGTCACAGAGGGTTCTTATTACCCTCCACAGCCGGCAACTTTTTGGGTTGTGAGCAAAAAATGATGTAGAATACTTAATGTTATGCTATCCTAAAAAAGAATCAACATGGTACTATATAAAATCAAATGTGAATGGAGAGAAACATCATATGTTGGGGAATTGCGATGTTCTTTATCAATTTACCACTAGATGGAGACAAAATTATATAACAAAACTATTTCTTATCACAAATTAATGCGAACTTCTTTGCAAGACAAATGCGAAATGCTTTAGGTTGATCCCCTACAAGTTACTGTAATTGTCACCGAGGATCGGCAAACGTGCTGGGAACGTGATGGAAGGACCAAAAGAAGACCAAAAAAGAGGCTGGTGCCCTAAACGTACTGAAAACATCCTGGGAATGTGATGGAAGGACCTAAATAAGACCTAATAAGAACCTTAAAGTTGGTCCTCTAAACGTTCACAGCATGTCCTGAATTTTCCATGAAGTCCCCAAATAATGTGGCCCGAAGTTCTGAAGAACTCCACATCACAGTGTTGTGGGAACATCCTAGGAAGACTACAGAATTACATACTTTACACCAGTGGGGACGTTCTCAGAACATATGCATGAACAGATAGCAAATGTTGTGTGGATCAGGAAATATCATGGTCTGGGAGTAACCCAGAAACAGAAATAGCCCAAGACAGGGTGGATGTGTAACTGCCGCCCTCCTGCGGTGTCAATTGTATCTTGAAAATTGGACTACACAGAAAAATAACTGAGAGCCCTTAACCTAGATGGAACAAGCCCATTGTTGACCACTCACACATAAGTCAGACTAAGGGAAATTCAGAGTTCCCAATTCAACTGAGCAGCATGTGGGAGAAACCTTGCAGAACATCGACCATGTCGATTGCAGTGAATGTTAGCACTCTGATACATTCGAGTCAAATGGAATGGTACTGTAACAAACAATATTTGCGTTAATAGTTCATTTTATACAAAAATGACATCAATTTGGCATTCTTTTCTAGTCTGAGATTTGGTAATTGCATTGCTTTTTTTTTGGAAACATGCCATTAATTTCTGAAAACCTGTTTGGTTATTTGCTAATTAAGAAAGTCTAATATTTAAATGAATCTTGTTGTATGAACAAGATGTGTCCCTAGACCTTCATTAAAATATCCCAAGTGACCATCGCAGCTACCGGATTGTGGGTGTGTCTATCTCCAGCTGTGCTTTGTCCCTCATTTTACATCTAATACAAGTTAGGCAATGAATACATCGTAAATAACTCATTCAGGTATATGCTGCTCCACACAGTATTGGATACAACATGCAAGTAACGTCAGTCATTAGATACAACAGGTAACAGGGTATCGGGGAACATGGCATGATTTTGCATATCCAAATTGCTTCAAACACAAACATTTGAAAAATAAAATAATAATAATAATATCCATATTCGAACCAACTATGCTTCTCAGGGTTGTGGGTTGGAGTCTTCCCCAGGCAGAACAGGGCACAAGGCAAGAGGTCAACCTAGATGAGATGCCAGTTCATTCCAGAGCACATACGTACACTGACTGTATACACTGTGGGAAGGGGAGTAGGAACGGGGGGGGGGGAGGACGTGTACCCCCCAAAAATAGATTTTTACATTAACCTTTAGGTCAACAGCCATACCACCTGCAATTCAGAGTTGGTGGTCCATCTGCAGCAAAGCAGGTTTGGGCTTGGCCAGTACTTGGTACGGAGGCCAACTATTAAATCTGGGTTGTTGCTGAAAGAGGTGTTGGTGTGACCAACTGGAGAGTCCATCCTGTGCTCTGTGTGGATCGCAATGCCCTAGTGCAGTGATGGGACTCTGTCCTGTAAAAATCTTTCGGATGAGACGTAAAATCAAAGTCCTGGCTCTCTACGGTCATAAAAATTCCCTGGACATCCTTTGAAAGAGTAGGGGTGGTACCCTGGGGCCTCATTTATAGCGTTCGTAAAATCTTGTGGGAGAGGAAACGAAAAATCAGATGCATATAATCTTGCGTGAACCGCAATACGCATTGTACAAGTTAGAAAGCCCACACATCGTAGAAACATTAGCACGTGTGTGTGCTAAGGAGACCACACCACATTACTTACTGGCTGTACTACGTTTTTGCCCCATTACTAAAAATGCACAATTAATAGCTCTGAAATAGCTCTGAAAAGTTGAAAACAGCTACTGTGTGAGTGAGACTGATTCCCAAGAGAAAGACATGCGGCGTAGCCAAGGTAAGATTTCTAATATTAAAGATACACTAACAAATACTGTGTATGACTAATATTTAACCAGGCCTATTATATGATTTTATGTTACTCAGGTCATTTCAGTATTGCTTTTGGCCCCTGTGAGCTTCTGCGATCATTCGGCAAGCTCCAAAAACATTCCCGTTTAATTGTTCATGGCAAATTCGCGAATAACCGGAACGGCAAATATGAATGGGTCACTGTACATGTGGCTGCACACGTTCACCGTGGATGCCCTTACTTTGACATTTCAGTATGTACACATCTAACTTAAATTCTACGCAATACATATATTGGTAAATATAAATTAATTTATTACAAAACAAATGCTGAATGTCAGTTGTATATTAGATATTATCAGTGCTGTCAAGTCTCACGCATTGACTGTGAGACACGCATTTCAACCAGTTCACACGCTCAAACGCCACTCCTTCTATTTCTCACGATGAGACGTAAGGGATAACATCCACCAAGTGGAGTTTTCCGCCGAGTTCATGACTGTCCCGAGTTATACAAAGTTAATAGCCATCAACTAGCCTAACAGAAAGTAGCATTTCATGTTTGCGGGTAAATTCCAAAATAAGTTACATGTAATCCCGCTGCAAGCACATTATCACATGGATGCGCTCACAGATGGCGTGCAGTGGTTATCTAAAGAGCAAGATCCGATTAATGCGGTAGGAAGGGCTGGCAAGTGTCACGCATCGACCGTGAGACACACGTTTCACCTCTAATGTAGTCTGACTCCAAAGTTTTGATGAGATCTGTGAGTATTATGTTATATAAATGTTTTGTGAGCATCCTGGGGCAAAATGGCTGGCGTTGCATCATCCAGGTGGGGGCTACACAATGGTGGTGGTTAAAGTGGCTCCCCGTTGGTGCCTTATAGGACTATGGCTGTTTTGAAAAAGTGCCATATAAATGTAACATTCATTCATTCATGTTCTTTTAAATTATGAAGCTGCCTATGCCCATGACTGTGGTACATTTGGAGATGCCAGTTACACTAATAGCATTTCTTTACACCATGGGAGGAGACTCACATTTAAAGAGCGGAGATTCAGCATCAGTGCTGTCTGCTGGGCCACTATGGCACCCAATTTGAATGTAATAATAATATCTTGTTTTTCTGGAACAGATTATTAATATAACCCTGAAGGGCTATATTTACTGTCTTGCGCAAACAAACAAGGAAAATATATATACTACAAACATATACACTACATATACTATTCATTGAATTAATAGCTAATATATAGTAGAATCTAACAAGTGTGTTATTGAATATTTCATGGGACATGAAAATAATTATAGTAAAATACCCCCTGCTGAAGCACGGATTTGGCCTCCACAGAAAATAATTGCCCAGGCCTGTTGTAACTCAGTGCCGCAGAGCTCATGAATTATTGGCTATTTATCATTAGTCCTCTGTGTAACGGAAAGTTTAACATTGACTGACATCAGATTGCGGACAGACCACTATTACCCATGACAGTTTCATAGAGAATTTCAGAAATGATTACATTGGTACATTCAATTCTGCATGCAGTGTCTTTTGTCATACCTCATAAGATGATCTTGTTCAATTTTGAAAATGAACGGTAAGCTTGATTCAAGCTGACTATACAGATATATTTTCTAGACTTGAGGGAATTGGGACATTGAGAAGATTTAGGAGTATACACCTTTTTGGTAGATGGCTTATAGAAACAATATTTTTTAATTAAACTTGGTATTTTGAAAACTAATCCAGAAACAAGTCATGTTTTTATTTGTCTAATAGTATTTTCTTTGTTTCTTTGGAACAAAATTGTAATGTTTTCAGTTGGAGTTCAATATACTTATTCTTAACACAATGAATTCCAAGATCACATTATTACATGCTGTCCACTCAAGCAACCTTGACTCAGAGTTCGTAGCTACATTAATTACCGTTTCTGTTATTTGTGAAGCAACCACTAGCCTAGATTCAAGGTTCTTTTAATTTGGCTAGTATCTCTATAAATAAACACATGAACTCACAGAGGCCAAAGCAACTGCCAGGGATTGGGTGTTTCCATGGCAATTGATCAACAGCACCATGCTCACAGAATCCTCAATTTTTGAAACACAGCTGTCTATAACTGGACTAATTGACTTTTTATGGTTTTAAATGTTGTCAAGAGGGTGGTAGTATTATTTGTGGGCATGGTTCCTAGCATAGTGCAACAATGAGGTTTTGTTTAACTCAACGCAGGGTTGCTAATAATTAGCATTTTGCATGTTTCCTGTGGTTTTCAGTTAAAGCGGCTACATTAATTTAGTATGTTTTATAAGTGTGTTATGTTTGCTGTCCTTTCCTCTTAACTGAGAAGCAAACTTAAGCATTTCAAAACACACGTCTGCCTAGGGTGACTATATAAATTTGTCATACTGATAATAAACTCTGTGACAGACACTTATCCTGTAAATCCATTATCCACATGTCTCCCTAAAATGCTTGCATGTTTTCCCTAGTTGCTGTGTTGAGGTTGGGGAAGTGGGGAAGCTGGGCAATTTTTCCTTTATAAATCTGTCTCAATGGGAGAGGAGGGATGAATGAGAGCTGTAATGATCAGTTGCTGTAAAATGAAAAGCATTCACAGGTTTTATAGTTATCAACCACAGTTTTCTTCACTTTTCTCTTGGTTAACTGCAGGGTGTGTTTGAAACCTTTACTGATAGAACTTTAAAATGTACCGAATTCAGCATGAATATGGTAAAATGGTTGTTAATGCACAGTGTGAAAATTTCAGTATGAATATTTATAATGTATGATTATTTATATTTTATAAGACACTTTTGCCCAAAGTAGTTTGTTTATATATCTTAGCAGAACTGTTTGCCGTTAAGTCTTCGTTTCATCACATTGTGCATAATGAATGGGGATCTTTATACAAGATATCCTATCCTTGAAGGTTTGTTTTTAGCTTAGGAGGCAGGTGGGTGGATGGATGGAAACAGAAGTAAGGAAAGGAATGATAATTTCATCTTATTATCAGGATCACCTCTAGAGATTTATGAAAAGGGGGACAAGCCTATCTTAAGGGGATTTATTTATTTATTATCTGATTTTAATCACAATGAATGATGATGCATTATGTAAACTAATTAGTGTACATTTATTTGGAGGGGCCAAAGACAACCAAACAGCCCTAGCAATGTCCCTGATGGTTTTGAAATTTCTTGGTGTTCTTCACCTGGGAAAGGAGCAATCGATTTGGCTTGTATGTGAGATGCTGATGCCATTTGTTTAATGAACTTACCTCGTGTCATGAAGAATGTCAACCAATGTCCATCCATAATGTGACTTAAAAATTGGAAAGAAATACAAGATGACAGCAAAAGCTATTCTGATTTGACGGAACTCATCTATTCATACTGTATGGTTCAGAGCTGGATGAAGGAGTCATCATATTTTTAATACTGGAAAACTCGCAAGACAGAGTAAAACGTAATTGTCAGCAAGCTTGCTCGACGGGGTTCTCTGGTGCATTACAGAGGGCAGGGTGAGTAATAAATTGAATATTGAATGTGCACGGAGTTGGACTTTAGGGCAGAAGTTGTTTCCCTTTAGTGGTTTAGAGGGCAGCATAGTGGGCGAATCTTCTGTGCCTGTGATCGGAAGGTCTCTGGTTTGAGCCCGGCCTTCGCGGAGTAGCCCTGTTTGTGGGCCCTTGAGCATGGCCCTTACCCCCCAGCTCCATGGGTGTCGCTATGGATGGCTGCCCTTCACTGCTGAGCTCACTCTCGCCTGTATATGTGTCTGTGTGTCACGGAGAGCAAGATGGGGTAAGGAAAAAAGAGATTTTTCCCCATGGGGATCAATAAAGCATTATTATTATTATTATTATTATATTAAAGGGTGTGCATGCTAGCTCGGGGTAGCAGGGTTAAATCTCACATACACTTTTGTACGTGGAGTTTGCCTCTTCTCCATGTGTCATGCAGGTTTTATCCAGGTACTCCAGATTTCTCATGAATTTAATTACTTGTAATGTTCTCTCTGATGGACTGGCATCTCGTTCCGGTTGTACCCCTACCTTGTGCCTCATGCTGCCAGAGAAAACGCCTGGCCCCTTCCAAGAATCTGAAAGCAGTATAAAAGTGGGTGGGTATAGGTAAGCATTAAGGGGTTAGACATGTTACATTTTTGTTTTATTGGCAACTAACCTTAGTGTTGATGAAGACAAAGAGGTCGTAGGCATCTTTAGCCTCCGTGGAACAGTGATCATCAGCAAAAGATCCAGCGGGCAAGAAACACGTTATGGACTGAGCAGCGCAGTGAAAGACTTAAAATAATAATAATATTTGAAAGTACCCATATATTTCTAAGAACAATGATTAAAGTTCTCCAGAATCTTTTATTTTTAAACTTGTACAAGTGAATGCACAGGAAGTACACCAATATGTCTTTGGAAAAGTTTAGATTAAAAAATGGAAACCAGCACGAACCAAACAATGAACATTTGAAGCCTGATAGAAAGTGGAGGAATTCCATCTATATGGCATAATACCAACAACAACTATTATAACAAATTACTGTAAGATTTTGTACATCGTTATTCTAGGACATTCATTTCTAGAAAGAACCAAAATGTTAGTCACTGGCGTGATCATAGTTTATGCGAAGAAAGTATAGCAATCAATATCTCCATATAAGGATCTGTATCAAGGGAAGAACGGATATCAGTACTTACGAATGTTACGAATGATCTCTATTTCAAAATATTATGGGAGGAATGAAGTCAATAGGCTATATCACAAAAGTAAGTTTGGTCTGATTTATGTGGGAAGTTTGAGGATATAAAATCAGAAATAGCTTGGTAAAAATATATTGGCAGTACAGGTTAGAGTTCTGTTAGATTTTCATACGAAAAAAACGGTTAAATAGACCATAAAATGCCAGTCAGACGCTGCATGGCGTATCATGCTGTCCCGCACGTATTTCCGCTCCTTTGCGACACTCCGGTACAGCTGGTGGCGGTAGCGTGTAAGTCCGATTTTCCAAGTGCCATGAACCCAAAAGAAGAGAAAAAGTTCAGGGCTAGTCGGGGTTAGTGTTTGAATACCATACAAGGAGCAAACGTGTATCCCCTTCCATCCAAACCCGCTGGCGGCCGACGACAAGGAACAAGCGAAAAAAGGTAGAAATCATTCGATTTTTTTAATTGTCACAAATACAGAGGCTTGTGCTTTCCTGAAAACTTCATTCAAGACACGGGTTGAACAAAGTGAAATATCTTAAGGAGTTATTATAGGCGGTGGCAGTACAGAGACGAAGGAAATGAAGCAGTTTGTATTCGAATAAAACGGTGTAAAAAGAAAATCAACTTTAAAATCGACTTTTTCCTGCGTGAAAGAAAAGTGCGAGGGATCTCATTTATCAGATGACAAAACCGCCTCACATTATAAGTTTGCTGTTACAAGAACATTTTTTCGGACTTTGTACAACGTTGTTTCTTATAAACTGTAAAAACATTCTTAAAACAAAAACCGAGTTAGTTGTTTGTTTATCTTTGAAGAACATTTGAAGTTAACGTTGTTCCCCATGTGTGGAGTTAATTTGACAAATAACAGCAAAGGGGACTGAATGTCAATGTCGTCAAAATTCTAAAGAAAAAAAAAACGATTTATCAATATTAAATACAGTGATTATCGTAACAGTAGTAATACCCGCAGTTGAAGTCTTGTCTGGTTATGGCGTTTATAAATTATATGTTCTGTCACCTCCGCTTAAGCCATGGGCATTTTATCTGAATTTCTTGTTGCAACTAATTTGTAAGCACAGTACCCTAGCATCATTTGCAGTACACGCATAAAGATACGCACGCTTGTATGTGTTTGTATTCATATCTTTGTGGGGACATTTATTTATGTGGGGAAAACGCTAATCACAACAGTGACAACCTTAACCACTACCCAGCCCTAAACTTAAACCATAAATAACCTAACAAAATACAAGACTTTTAGTTTTTTGATTGCAGATCACAGATTTGTATAAAATTGAGACACACGCACAACATTATAACCCAGGCTACCAATCTTCTACCATTATAACAGAATCAGAATGAAATACCAATACTCAATGGGAAAGGCAATACATATTCAACCAGCCTGCGGCCTGTACTTGATAGATGGATGTTTGAACTGATGGTTTTAATACCAAGATGTAACTTTATCAGCAGAGTATGCTTCTTAATTATGTTAAAGAAAGATGTAATGCTAAAAACTATTGGATAAACACAAAAAACCAAAAAAACAATTGTTGACAAAATGGATTATTCTGCATTTCGAGTGAGAATTGAGGTGGATACATTTAAAAAAAATCTGTTTCATTGATCCCAAAAGTAAAATTCATGTGTTATTTATGAATGGCATGTCGACTTGGAGCCATGCCTAATATTTTACGCATGTTTTGCAGTCCTGCAGCCTCTGACGTGGTTTCTCACTCCAAATGGAGAGTAACCGAAATAAATCTTTCTGATTTTCATCTGTGCTGAAGTTTCCCTTTTTACTTTTTATTATTCAGTTCATGACTTCAACACTTTTATTCAGTACTTCATTACATGAAATTTCCAAGGATATATTTTGATTGCTTTTATAATGTTCTCCGTGTATATTTAGGGGCGCTTTTCCACCACACCAAGTACTGTACGTTTGGTACTTTCGCTTTTCCATTGACTTCCAATCGAGTACCAATACCAAAATTTCCAGTGCCAATAGTGCCGAACCAGCTGCAGTTGACTAGAACACAATTGCAAACCCAGAATATAATGATACACTAAGTAAAAATGTGATTTAGTTATAAGAACATGTACAACAAAAAGAGCCGGATGGCATGACAAGAAATTAAAAAGTATTTTGTTGGATATATTAATATAGCACACACATAGCGTGCCGTCCTAGCGATGTGATTTTGTTGTAATAAATATTGGGGTATTTATAAAACAAAAAAGATTATACATTTCTCATAAACCTGTCTTAGACTGATTTAAACGGCTGTTTTTTTTTGTGACAGAGTACCAGAGTGAAAATATTTTAGTGAAACTTTAACCCCCTGCGCTATAATGTCTGTACAGAATTGAAAGTAAGAAAAAACCTTACTTTAATATAACTGACCAGCAATGTAAGAATTGTGGAAGGTGCAATTGCAGGTATTCTTTAAAGAACAACTGATAAATTTGGGAAGAGTAGATAATAATTAAGATCCCTTACACTTATTTTATTCAAGTATTTGGTGCAGTTAAGTATGGAAGTTACTTGTTACATTGTCCTTTTTAAATAAGTGTTGAAAACTAAGTATTGTCTAGTGTTTTCTGAGGGGGAAAAAAACAAGGTGATGCATTTCTTAATGTGTGGCTTTCCTTTCATATTATAATTGCCCTGTTGAATGCTTGATGTTACTGTTTTCACCTTAATTTCTTCTGGGGGGTGAATATAGTTCATACCTGCCCTTTTGATTGCTATTATTTAGGTACTCCAGTTACTTTCATGTAATCTGGTTTAATCTCTAAATTGAACGACAGGTGTGATAAATGCAGTAATGCTTCTGAGTGCATCTCACCAAAAAATGGGCAATGTAGAATAGAGATACTACAATCCCATTGGGGAAATTATTTTTGGCTTTGCCCATCTTGCTCTCCATGCAGGCGAGAGCGAGCTTGCAGTGCCCCGGGAGCTGGGGGCTAATGGGCCACGCCCAAGGGTCCACGGACATGTGACTGTTCTGCTAAGGCCGGGGCTCGAACTGATGACCTTCCGATCACAGGCATAAACTTTTGATCACTGTCTTAGCTCGCTGAGATGTATGTTTTCAGTACTAGCTGCCTATGTTCATATAATTTTGAATGGGAAAATGTAAAACTAATCTATATGAATAAAATTGTCTTGTAGTCACATAACCGAAACTAGGCTGTACAGCCAAGAGGCAAGATGGAGGCTGTTTTAAAGTTCTCCATGGTTTGCAGCTAAGCTCATTAATATTTGTTGTGTTTTACCTAAACTTCTGTTGTGATATGACACCTGAATTATGTCTTAATTACAATTAGTCTTGCTATTGTGTGTTTTGCTGTATAAAACGTGAATATTTTCACTGGAGTTCAACTGGAGGTTCAAAATCATGAAGCTAAAGTTAACATTGTTGTCAAATTATTATTATTTTTATTATTTTTGTGAAGTTTTATTTTAACTCTTTAAAAGAGCATTCTGATCCTCCAGGCTTGGTGGTTGCAGGTATTGTGTGGTTACAACAACAGATTTTGATTCTATTATTTTATTATTTTTTTTTTGAGAGAGAGAATTGCAGCTGTTCTACTGGATAATTTGATCCACTAGATGTAGCAACGCACAATGTAGGCTATTGCTTTGCATTGCTATTGGCCAATATTTGTTAAAAATCAAGATATTGGCAACAGCCCCATGTTAGTCTTGCGGGTCAATTTTTAAACTTCATCAGTATTCAGAGTAGGGTTGGGCAATATGACCTCATCAGTATCACGATTAACTGAACGTTGTACCTCGATTACGATTAATGAATGATTATTTTGTGTTTTTTTTGCCCTCGTTTCATTGACATGGTTTGTACTGTAAATATGCTCAACTATTAAAGCTGGGATATTTTTGCATGAAAGATCTTTATGATTTTGAAATAATTGAAGGAATCACACACAGATGAACCATTTATGGTCACCCATTGAATATTTTGGACAACTGAAATCAAATCGCTTGAAATGAAAACGTCCTATGAAAAAGGTTACATTTTATTTTTAGTGTAACAAGCAAGTTCCCTAAAAAAGTAGAAAGCAAGTATCTTGTATTTCTTGCAAAAAAATAAACACTTTATAGCGATCACGTCTGTCTGGGTTAGGCTTGCCACGATAGACGGTGTTGACGGTGTTACCGGTTTTAAGACGCAATACCAGTGACATCACTTTTCCACCGTGATACCGTCCCCACATTTATTTATTTTTTTTTAAAGACTGCTGACTTGTCATTTTTGTAGCCTAATGTCATTTTGGAAGTTTTTCTTTTATATTCGTTTCTTGTTCATTCGTTTAATCTTATTTAAACTTTATTTATTTATCTTTCTATTTTATTTTCTTATTCGTTTTAAAAACGTTCTAACATAGGCTACGTAATAAACGTTCTATGGTTGTTATTTGTTTGGTTCCAACTTCCACAGTTTTTTCAGCCTGTAGCATTGTTGTGTTTTTTGTTGTGTTATGTTAATAAAAGTTCTGTTTAATATCAGTGATTTTTTTAATTGTAGTTTCGTTGTCGTCCATTCAAACAATTGACGCCGAATTGCCAATTCCCGCAAAACTAAAAGTGAAAGTATAATACGCACGCATTTATAAGCTATTTAAAAGCAGGAGGAAAAGAGGAAAACTCCACCCCCACGGTGATACCGGTATTACCGGTGTTGTCACATGTCCATTAACCGGTGGGGAAATTTCCTCATCGTCACAACCCTAGTCTGGGTGAAACTGATGACTATAAGCTGATGATCATTATTATTTTTCTATTTCTTTACATCTCTGGTAGATTACCATCTAAGTGACGAACATAAGGTAACAAAAGGACATCATTTCTGTTTACTGAATTTTATTGGCTCTTTCAAAATACATAACAGCTGTTTCAAACGTTATTCAAATTACAGTACTGCACAAATTTACTGGACTGTGTATAATTTAAATATGCTATAATCCAGTACTGTACATAAAATATAGTATTGTATATTTTGTTTGGTGGCATATTTATTAAAGCCAAAATGGACACAGCATTTTTCTTTGGTACAAGTTACTCAAGTTGCTCAGTTGGCTCTGTGTTTGAGTTCTCCTCCATGCTGCTTCTATGTCTTCGTCTGGATGGGGCGGAGTCACGTGACAACACACAGGGTAGTATGTTTTTAAGGGGAATGTACATGGCCGTTCATTGGGAAAAGTATTAACAATTTTTAAAAACTGAAGTAACCGATATGGGCAAGTTTACATCGATTAGAGGTTCTGAATGTCGGTTTTGATTAATTTTGGATTAATTGCCCAATCCTAATTCAGAGTTAGCAGCACTAGCGTTAAAGACAACCACTAAACAAATGGAAAAAATTTACGTTGGATGATTGGTCCATAAGACGGTTTTATATCACCTGTGATGTGCTTTTATTTCATTATTAATTCTGACCCGTGGATTGGTAATTTGTTTTCCACAGAATTACAAATGATGTAGCAACATACTGCCAGTCTGCGTCAGTAAGCTTGATAAGTTTCACTAGCGGCAACCAACCACCTCCAAAATTGCAAATTGCTGAAAGGTTAGCCGGTATCTGTATTGGTGATGTTAGACAAAAATTACCGGTAAAAATTTCCACATTGTTGCTTCTCTGACTACAAGTACATAAAATATGCAAAGTTTCCTTAAAAAAATCATAAAATTTTTAACTATGTAGAACATTGTGTTCTCTGTGACCAATTCCACTTTTGCATGTCAACCATACTTAGATTGTATAAAGACACACAAACCTGATTTCCAACTTTTTACTGGTCTGGCCACATGAAGGTGCTTATTTACTGATTAATTTTTCTGAGTTTTGCACTCTCTACTCTGACTTCCCTCTCAGTAATATTAAACCTCTTCATTTATTGTGAGCTTCCCTTCATCCGAATAAACACTGATATTTTGTTTTCCACCTCATTTGAACCGATCGATATCTGTTTCACTGTGCATTTATGATGTCCATGTCCTTACATTTTCCTGTTTTTTTTTTTGTGGGGCTCATCTAAGGTTTCATTTCATGCAATTTCTCAAACCTTTTTGCTTCTTTCAAGCTTGGTAAGGGCAGACTTCAGTGCTCATGCTCAGGCTTGGGGAGGGCTGAGAGTAATCAGTTTATAGAAGGCAGGGTCAAAGAATGGATTTGTGCTCAGGGGTAGGTCTTGGATGATGATGATGATGATGATGATGATGATGATGATGATGAATACTAGCATTAGTATTATTGTAGCTGGTGTCCTTGAATTGTGAGCAAAAATGCAGACTAGTTTAATGCCTGTCAGGGTATCATCCTGAATTTTATGTGGTGACTGCTGAAAAAACTGACCTTTTTTACCTCCTGCTTGCCCTAGTGCCGCAGCCCCCCTATTGTCTCCATGGAATAATATTTATTGGTTAGAATGTATGAGCTGTACCCAGAGAATCAAGGTAGTTGACGCAGTCTCCCTCCTCCCTGTGACTCATAAGGGTGTTGGGCCTAAATAACTTGGTGTAGTTTTACATTCCTTATATAGCCTCTGTAGAGCAGCAAAGGGCTCGTCCTGCTGTCACAAAGAGAGCCTCAGCCTGAGTGGAGAATTCCAGGCTCATAGTTCACTGGCTTTCCCGTCAATTTTAGAAGGTTTCTGGCTTGGTTTCAGAGTTACCCCTCAGGAGAAAGAGGTATGTTTGCCATGTGCTCGGCCAGAGAGGTGAGGGAGTGTCAGTATTTGCTAATCTTAATCAAACATTTAGTCCTTATGTCTTGTTCAGTTATGGAGTCTTAATGAGAGTTTGGGGTTACCAACATATAGTTACTTTCAAAGTATTGTGTGATTGAAATTTTTGTTTATATGCATTTGGTGTGAGTTATCTAAAGAGACTGGATTTAATCTTTAAAGAATCTAGCAGTCGGCTGAAAATGTAAAAGGAGCAGAAAACAATTGCGTAATGAGCAGCACATATTCGTCTTACTGTACGTCATTACAATGTTACAAGATCTGCTTTCATGTGTTTAGTAATTTATATAAAATATTGCGAAAAGTGTGTGCTATATTTGTAGTACTGTACTTGGCTTAGGGCAAGGTTTATACTGTCATTGAGATCCATCTACTGTATTCCTTCACACTGTAAAACAGTGTGCATCTATGCATGTAGTAATAGTCAAATGACTAATGTCTAAATTTCCATGAGTTGTGGAATGTTTGTATTGCCATGTGGAATGTTTGTTAGACCCCTTAATCCCATCTGTTCCTTACTGATGGGGGAAAAGAGCTGTTGTGTTCTGTCTGTATTTTAAAACCAAAGTATGTTCTGAAATGAACTTGGTACATTGTTCACTGATGATCATTATGTTGCTTCTGTGGATTTTTACTGTTCTGGTTCACTGCAGTGTTTCCACTGGTCTTATTAGGACTCTTGAATACTGGAAACCTCTGTCATTCATTCTGCTGCCCATCAGCTTTGGGTTTGTGGGGCATCATATTCTGAAGCTGGTGTCTTACAGAGGTCATTAAGGGCACTCAAATAAGTAAATAAACCATCCATGAATTAGAGACTGTCGGCAGTCTGCGTAATTTTTTAAGTGAGAGAAGATTGATGTAAAGCGTTTCCTTCCCCCTGTTCCTTTCAGACCATGAGTATATACTATGTAACGCTGAATGGCCCAGCACCTTGGGGATTTCGGCTCCAAGGAGGGAAGGACTTCAACATGCCACTCACGGTGTCTCGGGTAAGTGACAGCTATTCATTTTTGTTGCTTCATGGCTTTACGTTTAATAAATGCTTTACCCTAAGTAAAGTATGACATTTTAATTGATGGACACCATTTCCTTAACTTGCATTCCAAAACTCTTCTTTTAAAATGGTAAGCTTGGACAAAGGGTCTTCAGCTGCATTATCAATGAAAAAGCATCAAAAACTCAAACAACTTATTGATAGTAGGATTTGGTGATGGTTTTGTGAATTTAAATATTATTGTAGGGAGATGTATTCCATAGTGCTGAAGAATAATACCAGTTTACATTGATGCTAACCGATGAGGTTGAATGGCACACCAGTCAAAAGCTAGCTCAGGTATAGCATTTATTACATATATTAAAGGTCAAAGTTTAGACATTATTCTGTTTGTCTAAATATTTTTTAGTGTAATTGGGAATTCCACACTACTACAGTGAAAAAGTGATATTCTGCACTGTGATCTTTTTTCTGAATGTGGCTAGGAATTTTGATGGCTGAACAAACTGAAGTACATTGCAGAAATGCTGAGAAACTATTAATATTCAGTGAAAATGTTGTGCCTGAAATCTGATTGTGCTAACATCAGGGATAAGCCTCATGTAAATGTTTGCTGATTATTACTTGACAGAACATGCTGATCCATGAGGGGGAGTTATCCTTTCCCAAATGCCTTTCCCAACCATTAGCAAATATTGATAGTGAAATAATTATACTAAACCACATTAGCATGAAGTAGACATGGGAAGGGACTAGCTGCCACCCATCTGCCTTTGTGTATTTGTATTTACATTTTATAGATTACTTATTACATATGATATAATGGTAAATGATTAATATTTCATGTATATGTAATATAAAATACTTGGGGTGCTGGTTTGTTTATCACATTAATGTGCCGCATTAATTTTAAAGTTTTAACCCGTTATTTTTTTGTTCGCGTTAAAACAGAAAATAGTTTAATCATACATTTCAATAGAGACCTATAATATTCCCTCCTGGTCTTAAACAACGGTAAAGTTTAGGTCATGCCATTGCGCAGCATTCCAGAATACAAAGCTAAAATCTGTACATTACAAGCTAAACCATTTAACAAAAATTTTAATATGGGTCATTTTTATGTACTTGAGAATTTGAGAAAAAAGTTATGTGAAATTTTTGTTTTTGTTTAGAGCAACTGACATTACATAAGAGCATAAGAAATTTACAAACGAGAGGAGGCCATTCGGCCCATCAAGCTCGTTTGGGGAGAACTTAACTAATAACTCAGAGTTGTTAAAATCTTATCTAGCTCTGATTTAAAGGAACCCATCGTTTGAGCTTCCGCTACACTAGCAGGAAGACTATTCCATACTCTAACTACACGCTGTGTAAAGAAGTGCTTCCTCAAATTTGTTTTAAAATGTTCTCCCGCTAATTTCCACCTATGGCCATGAGTTCTAGTATTTAGACTAATATTGAAATAGTCATTTGGCTGAACAGCATCCAGACCCGTTAGAATCTTATAGACCTGAATCATATCCCCCCTTAGTCTCCTTTGCTCAAGGCTGAACAGATTCAGTTCCACTAACCTCTCCTCGTAAGACATTCCTCTAAGACCAGGAATCATTCTCGTAACTCTTCGTTGCACCATAGTACCTTAACTTTAGGTATATTAAAATTGGTTGTCGTTTTTTGCTCTAATTTAATTTCTTTCACCCATTTTACCCAAATAGCCAAAAATCAGTAACACAAAACGATATACAATGATTTTAAATTTTGTCTTTTTTTTCTCGCCTCCAAAATCGATATTTTAGACAATGAAGCCATTTATTTTAGTTTGTCTCTTCAAACTAATTTTTAAAATTTGAGCAAATTGATGAGTTGCAGATAGAATTTTTGACAATAACCAATGTACTCCCCTTTGTGTTAATTCTACGTTAATTTGGGTATTCAATGTATAAATATTTACGACTCAATTTTAATATTAGGTGCAATTTAATGCGATTAATCACAAAGTTTTTTTTTTTGGATTGATTTAAGCCCATATATATTGTGTGTGTGTATGTATGTGTGTGTGGTTGTGTGTATGTATAAAAACATATATAGTGCTTGTAATTAAATACACATCTTCACGTACACATCATGTATATAAACGTACATCTAGTACAATGTGTATGTGTAGATGCAGAGTGGTTCAGTGAGTACCCCATCTCTGCTCTGTGTGTGCTTTGCATGTTCTGTCCTCGTCATGCCTCTTGCAGTGCAAAGACAGCATGCAGTTTGGCAAAGCGGTGTCTCTGAATTGCCCATAGTGTGTGAATGTGCATCAACTTTCCTTGTATGAATTGGCCTCCCATCCAGGGTGTATCCCGGCCTAGTGCCCTATGCTGTGTGAGTTTGGCTCCAGCATCCCCGTGACCCCGAGCAGGACAAGCTGTTTGGAGATGGATGGATGCATAATGTGTATGAGATAATATAGCCTTGCTGACCAGACAAACTGTAATCTGCTCTCCATTCAAAGCCTTGTGATATGGAAATATCTTGAATGTTTACTTAGCAGTCAAATAGCAATCCCGAACCGAAAGGTCGTTGGATTTCACTGTTATAACAGTGATAATAACCATGCAAAGCTCTTCTCACTTGTGAACTGTTCCTAGTTGAGCAATGTGCTGGCTTGCTGAGTCTTACTAGGCTTTGATCCAGGGGCGGATCCAGGGTCGGGTTAGTGAGGCTTGCACTCCGAATGTTTGTTTGTAGCAAAGCTCTGAATCTTGTTATAACAAGTGTTTTGTTTGTTATATGTATACTGTATAATGTGATTTTGTTCAAATTCAGAGCCGTGATGGACACGGACCTCATCTGTTTTCAACAGAATAGACAGAATTTTGTACTTGGAAATGTTGGACTGTGACTCATAGACAGGGTTGTGATCTAAGCCCGGAGCTCCTTCTAGCCTAGGTCAGGCTCAGACGGCCATGTTGTGAATATTACTGAGAGTTTCATTACCTGGCCAGTGAGGATGCCCTTAGAGAGAATTCCTAAATGTTGAGCATCTGACAACGGCATCTGACAACAAAACTTACCAATGGCATTCTGCTAACTGTTAAGCCGAAGGGCTGATTTTAATTAATATTTTTTTAAAGCCTTAAAGTAAAAACCGGGAAAATACACCTTTAAAGAGAACATGAGAAAACAAAAACTTAAGTGGGTCCAAATCATTCATCCAGCTTATGAACCAGAGACGAAGGCAGTCTACTTCCCCAAAAGGACATGTAATTTTTGTTTGTTTCCAAGTGCTCTGCTTTCTGTGTACTAACCCTGGAGACAGTCTCCTCAGTGTTCCATACACTGGAACTGCTGGAACAGAATGAGTGCTGAACCCAGCATTTCCAGCCCTTATATGTACTGCATTGTTTGTCATTTACATATGTTCATTATGCAAGCTTGCTGCTGACTTCCACCAGATGTCCAGTGCTGGTATTTATTATTTTATCATGTTCTTAATGAGCCACTTGTTTCATAGTGCTTGGGTTCCTGTTTTTTGCAGTATGGGTTAAACATGTTTGCATTCTTCTCAGATCTTTTCTTTTTAACAGATGACACATCTAGCAGAGGTCAAAGGGTTTTTTTATTTAAAATACAGATTTGAATCTTAAAGGGATTGCATACTCTTATTCCTTTCACAACACTGCTTATCATCCGTTTTGTTTTTTTGTTTTGTTTTGAGAACCACAGAGAACTGCAGTTTAACCAGTTGGTTTATTTTCTTTCCAGCTTCTTCAGAACGTAAAGGCACAAACATGCTTTTTCCCATATAAACTGACGAGCGTTCCCGTACACAATGCTAGGTGATGTAGCATATCTTGCAGCACAATTCTGCAGTTGTCACCCGAGCCTATATTCTGCAAAAGGTGAAAACTTTATTTTGACTTTATTTTCAGCTTTTATTTGAGGTTGTGAACTTTGAAGCACTGACACTGAAACCAGGGAGGCTTTCCATACCAATGCAAGAATGAAGATGCCAGCCTGTGGATCACAAAGAAATATAAACTTTAGACACTTTAAAACTATGACTTACAAATGAATGGAAATGACATCCATGTTCAGTAGCTCATGGGTCAAAGGAAGCAGGAAACACAAGGCAGGAGACACCCTGTAAGGTATGCAGGCCATTACAGGGCACACACACACACACACACACACACACACACACACACACGCACGCACATGTAGGGTAAACATATCCTTATGGGAACCGCTCATTCATTTCAATGCACGCACACACACACACACACGCACACAAAAACATGCATAAACAGACAAACACACACAAACACTCTGAGGGCGATTTAAAGACACCATTTCACATAAATGAAACCCTTGTGGGAAGAAACCCTTGCAAATATAGGGAATAAATGCAAACTCCACATCTTGCAGGGTGGGGGATCAGCAGGTCTCAGTGCTACCCACCAATCCACTCTCTACTCGAAATTATAATGTGGTGTTTGTTTGTTTTTTTTTTTTACACAAACAATAGCCTAGGTGTCTATAATCTTCAGGAGAAACCTGAAAAACAAACCAGGTTAGTCTCATTTTAATGGAGAATCAAGTGCAATAAACATTACAAATGCTGGAATGTTTGGTTGTTAAGCAACGTCTGAGCATTGTTGAGCATACAAAGGTTATGCGAGCACAACTCGGCGGAGTTGTGACATTCTCACTGCATGTATGTTGGTCAGTTTGTATCAGTGGAGCGAGGAAAACGAAACAAATGGAATTCTGTCCATCCATCGTCCACCGCCTATCTGGCCTGGGCCCCCCCCCCGGATCTCCAAGCTCCTCACACCCCGTCTGCAAGGCTGAGCCCAGACGCCCTGCAAAGGAAGCTGTGTGTGTGTGTGTGTGTGTGTG